GGAATAAAAATTGCTTTGCTTCCAGGCAAGAATTGCTTCTAGAAGTCAACACAGGTTCTTCACAACCAATTTCTGAAAGAATTCTCCGTAGGGAACCATATACCATGAACATATGGAGCAGAGTGGCGCACAAGATGCCTTTACTCACTTCTGCTCACAAAGTTGCTGGTTACAGTGGATGAAGAGACACAAAAACTGGACTGTTCATGACTGGAAACATGTTATCTGGTCTGATGAATCTTGTTTCTGCCTGTATGTGAATGATGCTCGGCGTCACGTTCATCATAGACCTTTGGAAGCCTTTAGTGAGGACTGCATGCAGGTGTGGTTCAAGAGGCTCTGTGATGTTCTGGGGTGTTTTAATTATGCAGAAATGGGTCTTTTGGTTGAGGTAACAGTAAATTTGAAACACAGTGCCCACATTGAGCTGCTGGACAACCAGGTTTTGCATTTTGCTTATCATCTTACCAAGGAACATAACATTCCTATTCCTGGATTTCAAGATGACAATTCTCGCGTTTCACAGAGCTGCAAATGTGACTGATTGGCATGATGATCTTTCACGAGCATTCACACATCTGGACTGTCCTGCAAAATCCCCAGATTTGAATCCTCTTGAAAATCTGTGGGACTGCCTGGAACAATGAGTGAGACAACAGGGAGGGCACCACGAAATCTGGCTGAACTGCACAATTCTTTGATGCAAGAGTGACTGAACATTGATGTTGCCTACATCCAGAAACTTGTCCAGTCCAGGCCAAATCGAATCACAGCTGTTATTCGTGCTTGTGGAGGTATTACAAGCTATTAGGTACAGTCATAGGTGGCTAATTTTTGTCCAGTGAGCTTATTTACTTATTAATTAAAAATACCCAAGTCAATTTCCTTTTCACTAGCTAAATCATGGCTAAAAGTGGAATGGCCACTAAGGGATCTGCATAAAAAGGCTAACATGCGGCTTGGTTGATCTGAACGTTGGTGGACAGCGCTAAGTACAGCTGTGAATGGGGTCCAGTGTGTCTTTGAGGTGGTTAGGGACCACATTAAATATTTACTCTCTCAGAAAAAAAAGGTAGTAAACTGTCTCTGGGGCAGTACCTGTCTTGTCCCTGGGTTGGTACCCTCAAGGGTCCATCTCAGTACCTTTAGTCAGGGAACATAACTGTACCATAATCCACTGAAATGATATGTTCTAAGCTGTACTGACTCCACACACCCCGTCTCGTCTCCAGGCTTTTATTTTACTGTTCTGTTTTAAAACATTCGGTTATGAAAAGGTACAAATACGAACTTTTCACGTGGAAAAACTTATTTAAGGTTCACAATCAGACCTTAAAACCACTGTTGTACCTTTGAGGGAAACATTTACACTGTTTGTACCTTGATGAACAAAAAATTACCTGCAGAGAGCCTTTATTTCTAACAGTGTAGTATGAACATTAAACCATCCCAATGCAGCCCTGACAGCAACGAAGGAGCGTCTGATCAGCAGCTGCTTAGCTTGGAAAAAAAAAGTCACAGGCTGTGTTCAGATTCGACCTGAAATTGAGGCCTCTGATCAACAGATTAGCTAAAACTGCACACTAGTAAGGTGGAACTATAAGAGAGGGGTTTCTAAAAAAGTGGCCAGGGACGCCACAGTGTCCCTGACTGTCTCCGCAAGCTTGTAAATAAATCTTTATTCTTACTAATTGGAGAGGGACAGCGTGTACATGTGTGGACATTAATCTGGAGAACGTAATGTGATTCAGCAGAGCTGAGGGCCTGAACTTTTGGCCTGAGACACAGAGAGAGTGAGAGAGAAAGAGAGAGAGAGAGATGGAGAAACAAAACTGAGACTATAACTAATGCAAAAGTTTGTGCACCCTTGAACAAAGTACTGTTACACTGCAAAAATGATATTTTGTCAAGTAAAATAATTTTAAATCTAGTCAATACATTTAATATTTTTCCTGTTGAGATTGTTGTAAGCTAATTTTAAGATTATTGAACTAGTTTCCAAACATGTTTTACTTATTTTAAGTGATTTTATTAGGTAAAATTATCTCAGTTTATGTGGTAAGAAATGTGCTTGAAACAAGCTAAATTGTCTTCCAGCATAGTGATAAAATCACTTAAAACAAGTAAAAATGTCTAGAAATGAGCTAGATAATCTTATAATAAGTGCACAACCATCTCAAAATAAGATACATTATATATATATCAACTAGAATTAAGATCATTTCACTTGACAAGATACTATTTTTTGCAGTGTAGAAAAGACAGCTTGGTCATCAGTCCATCATCAATCTTACAAGAAATATTTTGAGAGGACCTTATATACATTGAGAACTGTGGGGGGATGAAGGAAGGGGATATGAAAGGAGATGTAGGGGGTAGAGATAAGGGGGTTTGCCGTCACCATAAGGTCATGAGATGAAGGGTCATCTCAATACAAAGGAGTGAGTTGACAAGGTGAGAGTGTGACAGTTATCACTTCTCTGTAAAGGTCAGGTGATGATTATCACTTTTCTGCAACAAAAAAGAACATATAAGGGAAAATAACAGATGATAAGAATTTCGTCGCTGTTCAAAAAAAACATCTCCATTTTTATCGATTCTTAGGTTATTACATCATTTAAACGCTCCAGCTGTCCTTCACATTGCTTTAGAATTTCATGATGATTGGACCAATAGAAAAGCTCCAAATTCACTTGGAATAAAACACTTTTTACATTGACTTACATTAAAAGTTAAGAAGGTTTTTTCCTTCTCCTGTAAAGTTATTATTTTGGAGATACTTGTTTTTCATTGGACAGTGACGATATTTTCTCTCAGTACATATTTTGTTGATTTTTGAAGTTTTTCTGTTTTCGTTTTAGGAATTTTCACCCACTCTTCCTCACAGATTGCTTTTAGATCATCTTGGGGCGTCTTGCACGCACAGCATGCTAAGATCTACCCACGGTTTTTTAATTACGTTGAAGTCAGACAACTGAGGGCCATTTCTAAAGCTTCAGCATATCGTCGCTGTCCAAAGAAAACCATGTGTCTCCATTTTTGGCCATTTTCATTTTTCTACATCATTTCAACACACCAGCTGTCCTTTACATCGTACAGTTCAATTTCATGATGAATGGACCAATAGAAATGCTCTAAAATCACTTGGAATTAAATTTCTTTACATTGACTTACACTGAAAGCAAGAGTATTTTTGCCCTCTCTTGTAAAGTTACTATTTTAAAGATCCTTTTTTTTTTGGACAGTGATGATATGCTTCTTGAAGTAGTTCATGGTGGATTTTGCAAAAATCAGGGGCGCTTGAACACAAAGATTGAATTAGAGTGCATACACAGTGTGATGTTATTGCATTGCACAGCATTATCTCTCAATCTCTGTTTGTTTATGCTGATGTGAACTTTGATTGGATATTTTAATTAAATATCAAAATATCTGATCAGACTGTCTGGCAAGAGAATTAAAACAAAGAAAAATGTCTTGGGGGCCCCTTTCATAAAACATGCTTGCATTTCATTCAAATGCAGCTGTGGTATTAGGAGTAAACAGTGTGTTTTTCTCTTAAAAATGTTGTTGAGTAAAGGAAGTATTCAGTGTGGTTTACTCTGCCGTAAACATGCCACGGAGGCTGTCATACGCGGTTATGACTGATAAATCCAGTAATATCACCATGTCATATTACCATTATCATTATTTATCATGTCATATATCATAAGACATGATGTGACGTAAGCTGTCACGACAACAAACATTATGTCATCTGTCATTACAACTGCCAATAATGGTAAAATGACACTGTTATATTGCCGAAAATAATCTGTTATGCCAACTCATAACAACATCCGCCATTACGTGTTTTGGCATGTTTATGTCAGTGTTATGTTGCAGGAATGTCTATAATATTGCACTGTAAGGTACGATAGAAACCTTACAAAATAATACTTAAATCCAGGCTTATTACATACTAAGTCTTATTATTTCAGTAACTACAGGGACTTCAGTGTAAACTGGTTGAGCTATTATTAGGTTATAGAAGTGTATAATAAAACTGGCCATTTAAATGGTTAAATGTAGTAAAGAAATTCAATCAACTTCAGTATTCTTGGTAACACTTTATTTGAAGAGTACAATTTAGATGCTTTGTAGATGTAGATAGATGTAGATTTAACCTACCTTTAACTTACATTGAACAAAAACACAGCCTAAATCTTCCATTCTAAAGAAATCGAGTCAGAATTGTTCACAGTGGTGATAGGAACCAGACGTCCACCTCTAAAAGCTCCCTCACAGAAAGTTACTACATGAAATGGTTATGAATTAAGTTTTAAGTTTTATGATAGGTTTGAGAAGATTTTGGCCTTAAAATCTATTTGTGGTGGAGGTATACATGACATGCAGGGCGTTGTGAGGCAAAACAGTCCCCAAAGAAAATTTATTATTTCAGATTTTTCACTATTTTGCCATCATCAGCATTCCATATAAAAGTCAGAAGGCTCGTGTAGGTTCACTGGTGGTTTTGATAGTAAATAAAATGGCTATATTTGTGTTGTAGTCATGGTGACCCCTGGTTCCAATCACCACCACTGTAAAGAATCACATCTCATTGATTTGTGCAGACATTTGGAAAATATTTGAACACAAAACTTACTCCTATTCCTCACTCTGGTCTAAATACTAACCCTAACTTAGTTTCAATGGACAGTCTGCCAATAATATTAACACTAATAGATAATCTACAGGGGCTACAGTGCACTGTCCAGATAAAATGAGCCTCTTCACTGTGTACGTGTGCTAATATGGGGTTATAACATGCCACTGACTACTGTTATGCAGGCCTTTTATGAGTGTGTGTGTTCCTGAGGGTCTCTGAGAGTAATGATGGCAGACAGAATTGGGTCAGCCCTCATCAATCTGCCCAAAAACACACAGTGACACACACTCAAATCACACACTTCCTCACACAAGCTCTTACGGCCTGGTGTATTCTCTCTTTTTCCCCGTAGCGTCGTCTGAACCGAGAGGGAAACTGAGTGGCTGACTCCGCCCACTCCACCTGGCCCTGCCCTTTTCCTACCTGCCACCATGGCACTGTCACTATGGCTACTGTGGATGTTTGCTGCCTCGCTTAGCAACATCGCCCCCTCTGAACAAGGTAGGTACTGCAGTGGAAAATTCATCTGGGTTTTATAAACTGACTGTGTGAATCCTGTTTCGTACATGTTCTTGTATCTGGGAATTTGACGCTAATTAAATGGGAAAGGATTAGGTATACAAGCAAGGAGGAGTCATAATCCCGACATAGCAATTTACCTGCTGTAGACCTGCAGGGCCCAGGAAATCGGCGGAAGGGCTCATATGAACAGAAGCCAGTATATTCCTGGAAAATACAAAGATGTCTAGATTATGGTCGACAAAGTGGATGTTTTTTTGCAGTTCGATTTTTTTGGTTTAGTTTTGCGGGTGGAAATATCACAGTGTATTTTGTATATAATTCTAGAGAATTTGATATAATTCTAAAGCTGAGATGGCTGGCAGAATAAAACATCTGTGTTTTTACGGGCGAGTAAAATACATATTGCTACTCTCAGAACAAAACTTCGTATCTCCATCTTTTGGCATAATTTGAAAATGCCTGTTGCCCTTTACATTGTGTGTAAATTTCATGATGAGTGGAATAGAAATGGCCCAAAATCACTTGGAAAAACGTCTGGTTCCATTGACTTACATTAAAAGTAAAGTAGGTTTTTTCCTTCTCCTGTAAAGTTATTATTTCAGAGATATAAGGTTTTGTTCTGACAGCAGCGACATATGGATGACAAAAAACTACTCAAACTCAACAGAAGTAAGACTGAACTATTCCTCATAAGTTCTAAATCTACACTTTCAAAAACTAATATTTGTTTGCTCCCCATTGCTGGAGCCATCGTACATGTTTCCACACAGGTTAAGAGCCCTGGTGTTATTTTAGACAGTGCCTTTATCTTCTCCAGTCATATTATCAATGTTTCCCAGAGTGCCTTTTTCTACCTGTGAAACATCTCCAGACTACGCCATTTTAACACAGCACCCCACGGAGGTCTTAGTCAATGCTTTGGTCACATTACACATTGACTGCTGTATTGCGATCCTGGTAGGCATCCCTAACAAACTTAACTACCAACTTCAGCTTATTCAGAACTCTGCAGCACGTTCTAAATACACTGACCATGTTACACTTCTGCTGATTCAACTACACTGGCTCCCTGTGTCACAACAGATTAATTCCAAAATCTTATTACTAACATTTAAAACTCTTCATAACATTTTCCCCTGCCCACCTCACAGATCTTCTGCAGCCCTACACTCCCTGCCCGCTGTCTACGGTCTTCTTTACTAGGTTTACAGGCACTTCCAGCCATTAACTTTAGCACCATGGGTACCAGAGCCTTCTCCTATGCTGCTCCTAAACTTCCCCCTCACATTTGCATATTGTACGGAGCCCCTGAAGGGAACATGGTGTTTTTTTTTAGGTAAAAGGAACATGGTGTATTTTTTTCTTAAGGTAAATATCTGGTGCGCACCAGATACTATCAGGTGAGCACCAGATACTATGTGGTGAGCACCAGATACTATGTGGTGAGCACCTGATACTATCAGGTGAGCACCAGATACTATGTGGTGAGCACCCGATACATTCAGGTGAGCACCCGATACATTCAGGTGAGCACCAGATACTATGTGGTGAGCACCAAATACTATCAGGTGAGCACCAGATACTATGGTGAGAAAAAAAGTGTGTGTGTGTGTGTGTGTGTGTGTGTGTGTGTGCATCTGTATATCCATAAACTGTCAGTGTTCATTGGGCTCCATAGTATCATGACTTCACAGACCACTACTCTGTACACCGGCTGTGCTTGTTATCCTTTGTCATTCCATCATGGAAGAAGACATTCATGACTTTTTAGTGTCGACAGGTGGCACAAGAACAAATAAAGTCGACTTAAAGATGATAACGTAAGCTTATTTGTTCAGACAGCTATAAAAACCTTAATAATTTACCAATTTGTCCCTTTCAAAGAGATATAGCTAAATGTAGGCTGCCTTTGCTATATACAGTTAGCTAGCTAACCTAGCTAGCTCTAAGGCTTGCATTGTTCTCTACGAAATGCATGTTTTTGCATTAAAACTATACACACCTGCGACAAAAATGAGCCAGTGGGCAAAATGTCTTCAAGTTTAAGTGACATAGAGAACTTTTGCTCCTCGCAAAATGGATAAACGATTCCGTTGGCTGGGTTACTCTCCATTTTGGAAAAGTGAAAGGAGCACAGACAGTTTCACCACCTCATTCGGCAGCTGGAACTTTTTACATAGTTTATAGCTAACTGTATATAGCAAAGGCAGCCTACATTTAGCTATATCTCTTTGAAAGGGACAAATAGGTAAATTATTAAGGTTTTTATAGCTGTCTGAACAAATAAACTTACCTTATCATCTTTAAGTAGCTTTATTTGTTCTTGTGCCACCTGTTGCCAGTGAACACCGACACTGTTTATGCATATAGGCATTTTTTTTTTCTTACCACATAGTATCTGGTGCTCACTTGATAGTATCTGGTGCTCACCTGATAGTATCTGGTGCTCACGTGATAGTATCCGGTGCGCACCAGATTTTTACCTAAAAAAAAAAAATACACCACGTCCCTTTCACCTAAAAAAAAAAATACACCACGTCCCCTCAGGGGACGCTCCATAATATTGGACTCGAATACAAAATTAAAAAAATGACCTTGTTAAACTTGTTTACTAATTTTAATAGATACTTATTTTATTTTACAGCACTAATGTTATAGATGTTTTGTATTTGCATATTATATGTATATGCCTTATTACTGACTTTATATGATGTAAGGTGAGCTTGAGTGTCACGAAAGGCACCACTAAATAAGGACTTAAAACTCCACAGCAACAAAGTTCTCAAATTCAACCTTAAAGAGGCTTTTTTTGCCATGCAAAGTGTTTAAATTCGACTATTGTGTGCATTAAATATTGATTTTCAATTTTAGACCACAAAGACTGTTTGCACCAGAAAGAACTGTTCACAATACATAAAAACCTAAAAAGTGTGATTTTAATTTAATGCATAATTTCACAAGAAGAAACAAAACTTGACAGTCAGACAAGCTGTATTAGATTTGCATGACATTCTCATGCAGGAAGCATGAGTTCATTAACTCTATTATCATCACCTTTGTAAATGAAACCTGCAAACGTAAAGAAGCTTTTAAAAGCTTGAAGTAATGCTACATAATGTTAAGGTTCCGCACAGACAAGCCAAGAACCATTTAGGAATCTTTGTGAGTAGGTTGCGAGGCCAAATGGGCTCTACTTGGGCTTTTCCAGGAAGCACAGGCAGAGATTTTCAGACCTTCAGTAGTCAGGATAATTATACAGTAGGCAAACCTAAAATCAGGCCCCAGGTAACAAGAATGAAGGTCAGACTTACACCGCCAAATCCAGAGAAACAGGAAACCAGCCAAAGCTTAGAATCGCTCCACACAAGAGAAATATAAGACTTCGCAAAAGACTCATCAGGGCAAAGTTTTCCTGATAGAACATTTTTTGTGTCCTTATTGATAGAAATCAGCTTTATTTGGGCTCCTGAGTGGAGCATCTGTCTAAACGCTGGTGATGCCACAGCCATCTGTAGCCAGGGGGGCAAGAGAGCATATGTGTCTTCTCTTTTCTCTGTCTGGCTGGGTAGGATGGTCCTCCCTCTCCCCCACCACTTTTTTTTTGTGTGTGTTTTGCTCGAACTCCCTTCAGAAAGGCTTTTTCGCATGGCTGTATTAAATCATAGTGTTGACAAACCATTTCGGTTTGATTATTGTGACCACAGCAACACTAATTTTCAATTTTAGACGTCAAGAACTGTTTGCTGGTTTGAAAGAACAGTTCAAAATACGTAAACACTAAAAAAGTGTAATTTTAATTTAAAGGCAGGCGTCTGTTGGCTGGTGTAACAGAATCAGTGTTCTCCTCCAAGCATGTTTATCCATCCAGTGATGTTGCGTTAGCAGCAGTTTGAAAAGATGCACTGGTGTTTCTCATATCTCGGAGGAGGAAATGCTAGCCTTCACCCTTTCAGCCTGGTGGCATCACGTGATGGTGGACCTAGCTAGCACGTAGGAGTACTGGATAAGACTAAAGGATTCAGCCCTCTATGCATGCATTGGTGTTTCCTTTAGTTTTTTAAGCATTGTGCAGAAGTCTACATGAAGGATTTCTGTTGGATTCTTGTCCCATTTCAAGGTCATTAAGGCAGTGAAAGCGCAGCACGATCTGATTGCACTGAATTTTGCAATGTTAGCATTGGTTATAATTGATTATTACAATATTCATTATTGACTAATAAGTATTGACTCATTTTTTGGACTAAATCAAATTATATACAAAGCACAAAATTATCATAAAAATGGTTTTCTCTGACTGGATGTGCTGCAAGTACAGACTTTAGATAGATAGATAGATAGATAGATAGATAGATAGATAGATAGATAGATAGATAGATACTTTATTGATCCCGAAATTTAGCAAAATTTAGAAAATTTATTTCTGTTTTCTGGGTAAACAGAAATCGGTAGCACTTTACTGTGGGCTACTGTTCATAAGGCTACATGACATTTACTCAATCATGTTGTGACTACTGACATAACTCTGATGTAAAGGCTACTTTAGCTATCTTTGATCAAAACTGGCAAAAGTACCCTTTATATCGCGTGACACCTTTTGAAATAACCATTTATAAACATTTATGTAGTTACGTCAGTTGTTATGACAAGCTTATGTAGGTGATATGTAGCCTTATGAACAGCACCCTACAGTAAAGTGTTACCCAGATATCTAAGTAACCTCTCTTTGAAGCAAAAATAAATAAATAAAATAAATTACAAAAGCATATTTCACTATTGTACATCATAAAATTAAAGAAATACTAATAGCTACTTTTTCTATTAATATGTATAATTTTATCTTCAATACAGTATTGCAAACATGAGGAAATATAGATTTAATTCTGTAAAAAGCTGATGGGGATTTGTTGTGACACTCGCCATTACAGCTGCAGAAATTTTACCATGCATCTACGCATTTTACGCTCAGTGAGCCATTTTAACCATTTTTACAGGCTGATAGTTCAGGATAGAGTAGTTTCTGAGGTCACACTAATGTTATAAAATACAGCTCGTTGTGCAGCCGTAGTGTACATGGTAGCACGGATCACCTTGATGTCTGCCTGTTCTGGTTTGTCTGGAGGAGGGATTGTGTCAGGGGGCTAGTCCACACCTGCAGAGCATCTCTGTGGCCTTTGTCAAAGGGGGGCACTTTTTCACAGGGGATGGTACAACAGGTAAATATTATGCTAGGGGAGGCTCTGCTTTGCAGCCAGAGGTGAGTGGAGGAAAGAAAGAGTCCAGGGATTGCTGGGTCTTACAGGTGATGAAGAGTCATGCCTAGGGATGTAGAGAGAGAGAGAGAGAGAGAAAGAGCATGGCCTGATGATTCCTACAGGTGATGTGAAGCTGAGTATTGTGGTGTGGCATCCCAAGGTTGCTTCTTGTGTACTAAGGAAATAAAGTAGTAGACTGTCACTGGTACAGTACCCATGTAGTCACTGGGGTGGTACCCTCAAGGGTACGTCTTCAGTACCTTTAGGTAGGGAACGTAATGATACCTTGTTCCATAGAAATTTGAATTTTTTAAGTTTTCACACACACTGTCTTGTCTCCAGGCCTTTTATTTTGATGTTCTGTTTTAAAACTTTAGAATAAATATGTATCTTTCCTCTGAGGAGAACTCATTTAGGCTACACAGTAGAACCTTAAACCTGTCACTGTGCCTTTGAAGGTACATTTACACTGTTTGTACCTTGATGACCAGAAAATGTTCCTGCGTAGTATGTTTTTTTCTGGCTGTGTACAGATCTGTACATATTTGATTCATATTACCTAAATATTTAACTGTTACTTTGTCAGGTTCTGCCATAATTTTGATGGGTTACCTAATAATATAATTAATGGCATATTAGGTTACATGATAAATTACATTTACATTTGTTTTATATTCTGTATTGACACATGAAAATCTGTACAAAATAGAGATATATAGCAAATGTAAATGTAATTCATTGTGCAAATTCATTCATTTAAATTCTGTATCGACACATTTGAATCTGTATTTTGTACATTTTTCTGTTTATTTCAAAGTCAAGAAACAAGGCAAAGACATAAGATGTTTTTTCTTGTCCCAAAACAACAGTAAAAAAAAAATCTGCATACCTTTTTTGAATAGATGAAGCCCATCGCGGATATAATGGAGGATGATTGGTGGGTAATGGGCTAGATCAGGGGTCGGCAACCCATATATTAAGAAGAGCCATTTGTTCCTTTCAACAAAAATCAAACCACCTTGGGAGCCACAACAATTCTTGTCCATTTAATTGAAGTAACGTTTTATCATCTTGGCTGTAAATATATCTCAGTATGTGATAATGTTCTACTATAGACTAAAAATAAAAAAGGGCAGATTTACTTTGCTCTGCTTTAAGCTTTAGATATAGATATAACTGCTTTTATCACATCTCTGGCAGGAAACTTTTCCTTCGTGACTTTTTAGTGTTTGACAGTTTCTCATTGCAGATTAAACGTATCAGGAAACCAGCTGGAGTGATTATGAATGTAAATCAGTCCATTCGTCTCCAAATTATCAATGTTCGTCTCTCTCTTTGCCGTTTCGTTAGCTACTAGCTAGGCGAGACTGTTGTCTGTGTTGCTATGGTGACCAGCAGTCTGCGCTGATCTTCAGGGTTAAAGGGTGAATTAGCAGTTCTACATTAACTCCAGAGTTTAAGACCATTTATTGTTAAACTGTGTTAAACGATCAGCAGAGCTTTATTTTACTGCAAAGGAGGATTATTTTATTTTTACCTGCAAATCTAATTCTGCTGTGGAGCAACAGGGCAGTAAAAGTGCTGCATGCTGGTCCAGAGCTGCATATTCCTGACCCCTGCACTAGATGGACAATAAGCCCTTAAAATCTCAGGCTTATTACATATTAAAGCTTATTATTCAGCAACTTTTACAACCTCAGACAGTGGAGGTTGTTGAAATTTGTGTGGGTTATCATGTGGGTTCCTGATCATCACCTTTAGAGGAGATATATATCCTCAGAGTTGAAGCAAAGGCTTCAGTGTTGTCCAGGAGTTGTTCCTTCACGTATTGCTCACACTTAAAAAACAACGGTTGGACAAATGGATCCAAAAAAAGGAGTTCTTGGGAGCGAGGAGTACTTTTGATTCCACATTTCAGTGGATATGAATGAGATGTGTGAAGAACTGTTTCAAAGTTTAAAGACCCGCCACATAATGTAATAGTTACACAGCAGTTGACACAGTTAGAAATAAAGGTTCTGTTCAGGTACATTTTTCATTCATCAAGGTACAAACAATGTACATGTTCCCTCAAAGGTACAACAGTGGTTTCAAAGTCCGATTGTGAACCTTAAATAAGTTTTTTCAGGTGAAAAGTTTGTACTTGTATCTTTTCATAACCGAATGTTTTAAAACAGAACAGTAAAATAAAAGCCTGGAGACGAGACGGGGTGTGTGGAGTCAGTACAGCTTAGAACATATCATTTCAGTGGATTATGGTTCAGTTATGTTCCCTGACTAAAGGTACTGAGATGGACCCTTGAGGGTCCCACCCCAGTGACAAGAGGGGTACTGCCCCAGTGACAGTTTAGTGCCTTTTTTCTGAGAATGCACAAGCCAAGGACCAATAGCTGTTCTATGAAGGTCCTCCCTCTTTTGTTGCTCCATTTCCTTTCAGCTTTGCCATCTAAGCTTGCAGGCATTGGTTGTCCTTTTTCCCTTTGCATTTAAGAGATTTGGCAGATGCCCTTAACCAAAGCAACATACAATTTAATCGTGTTGCAGATGTAGGCGAATGAATGTATTAGGCGTCTTGCCCAAGGACTCTTATTGTTCTTATAGCATGTTGTGCTTTCCCAGGCTTGAAATGGAATCCCATCAGCCTTTTGAAGGACAGCAGCCTTATCTACTATGGTACACCAACCAACAACCTCTTGTAGCTCTTGTAGGGTTACTCTGAGCTCGTTAATGGTCTGGCTCTTCCTCTTTAGCTGCCGGACCTCCTCTCAGATCTGTGTGCTTTTTAAAATCAGCCAAGTCCAGCTCCAGCAGTGCCAGCCTCTCTCTCCTCTGTTTGTGAGAGGACAACACTGTGGTGTGCAATCAGGGCATTGCCTCTAGGCCTTCTTCCTCATTGTCTGTATCTCATTGTGCCTCTGCCTTCAAAAGAACTTAGGCTGATTTCATTGCCCTGAATTAAAGGAATAGAAAAGAAACTGTTATCTAATAAATGGACAGAAGTCACCTGAATTATGTCCCTACTTTTGTCTACATTTACTTTAACAGTATATCGCACAGTGTCAGAAACCACAGATCATGTCTACTAGAGATTGCCTAACAACTCCACACAATTTGATGCAAGTGTGTGGTGGTTTGGGAGAACAATTAGCACCATTCTAATTGGTGGATTACAGGCTTTCATTACTCGTTAGCTACATTAGCCTAATAGCTCCAGTGCAAAACGTTTTGGCTGAGTGAAAATAGTATGCATGTGATTTTTGTAATCAGTCCTTTAATAATACTCGACTGTAGAGACGAGGCTGTCAGCGTCCAGATTTCCATTCTCACATACAACAATCCTGTCGAATGGCGTCTTTGAAGAAACATCTGCTGTGTCTACAGATTGCAGATTTCCTCGCAGACTGGCGCAGAATGTTGGAAAAATGGGGTTATTTGTGATCGTCTTGCCATAACGATGGATAAAACCTGCGAAGAGTCTATCGGGGTTTTCTTTGTGTGTTTTTTTTTTCCCTTTGTCTGAGAGCTCTTGCACTTTAGCTGGAAACTCCATCTCCCTGCAGTGCGCTGGTCTGGTTTCCATGGCAACCTGTGGGAATATGGCTGCAGGCACCTCAGAAGCTAGCTCGAGTGGGTTGCGAACTTATTTTATCCTTTTGCTTTTGCGAGCGTCTAAATTTTCATTGTGCTTTTCGGCTTCAAGGCCTACCTTGTAGGACGTCCAGCGTTTCATGTTTTTTTCCTTTCAGTCGTTCCCCACTGAAGTCTGGGGGTGTTTTAGCTGGCTAAGCTTTCCTGTGCGTTCGGTAGCCGCCCTCTTTACCTCTCTCTCTCTCTAACTCAGGTCTGAGCAGGGCGGCCATGCCGTTTGGTCTGATGCGAAGAGAGCTAGCGTGTGAAGGCTACCCCATAGAACTCCGCTGCCCAGGAAGCGATGTGATCATGATCGAGACGGCCAACTATGGCCGAACGGATGACAAGATCTGCGACGCAGACCCCTTTCAGATGGAGAATGTCCAGTGTTACCAACCAGATGCCTTCAAGATCATGTCTCACAGGTGGGTGTATGTGTATATCGTCACTGTCCAAGGAAAAATAAGTATCTCCAAAATGGTAGCTTTACAGGAGAAGGCAAAAACATGCTTTACTTTTAGAGTAAGTCAATGTGAAGAGAATCTAAGTAGTTTTAGAGCATCGCTATTGGTCCATTCATCATGAAATTTTCCCACAATGTGAAGGACAACTTTGTTCAAATGATGCAGAAAACTAAAAATCATACATGTTTTTCTTTGGACAGCAACGATTCATGCTGTATCTGTGCATCTGCGTTCATAGGTAATACACCCACGGTAACGTCACCAAACCAGTCAGACGCTCGCGGTAAAACAAAGTATGAGGCTTTATTGTGAGGGGCCTTGGCAAAACCCGAAGCCGAAAAACAGGCTGTGGTCAAATCCAGAGAGAACATAACACAACCAGGCAACCAGATCCAAAGGGCAGAGACAAAAAGACAAAGTCAAAAAATCTTAGGCAGGTAAACAATCACAAAAGGGCAATCAGAAGAAAACACTCAGTAGCTCTCATGGGAAGAAGCAATACCTTGCAAAGATTCTACTCTAAAAGCCCGGGCTTTACACTAAATCTAACAAGACACCAAATTAGTACTTGGGTGAATGTAAGCGATGATTGGAGCGCTAAGCCTCAAAACCAGAGGGATGCGTGACACCCACACAGTGTACACTTGAAGTAGTTAGCAAAAACAATCCAGTTTAGTTATGACATGACAGGTTACCAGTTGCTATAAAGTCCCAAAGAACTTGTGTAAATAATGAAGGTCTAATATTAAAATTGACCAGCTAAGTTTTAAAATGAAAAGAATCAGACCTCAGCTAAATCCACTGATTTAGCCAGTCTGTAAACTGTCTGGGCGTGGCCTAGTATTTAAATGAGCACTCTTGATTAAGTCCAACACTCCCAGACTGGGAGTGCTACGCCACTGAACCTGTATCATAAATACAGAGAAATATATTGAAACAGACTCTACGTATATGGTGTTGTAGTCTCCACTGCGTCCCACAGCTCACTGAAATCGCTATCCTGTTTTTCTGCATCGATGTCTTCAAGAAAGCACAGTTCTTATTTATATTTATGGTATTTGGAGAAGGCAGAGGTGCTACCCACCACACTAGACCAACCACACTGCTTTATTTACCTCACTGCTGGTTGTACATCCTGGGAAAACACATACACGCATTGTTAGCATGAGTAGTTGAACAACAAATGCACGAATGAATGACAGATGAGGTAGTTTGCCAGCTTGGTTATGCTGAATGGGTTAGCTTTCGCTTGATTGTTAGCTTTTTCGCCAGCAATCCATTCTGAGAATTTGGTGATGGCTGCTTTAACTCATTGAAATCTGCCGCCAGAGGAGTCACGGCACATGCATGTCCACATTGGCCAGAGGGAAACATATCAGTGTGTATAACCAGAGCTTTCTGTATGCTGCTCTTTTTCTATAACTGTATATAATATGCATTCAGCTTCCTTTAGTGTTGGATTCAATGTGATTTTTGCTGAGTGACCTGGTGAGTTAATTTAGAGCACAGTTCTGATCCATAGGTGCTTATTATTCTTCTGTTAAATCAGATTAAACAATAAAATTCAACTGATGTGTGGCTTATATTCCTATCACTGTTTTTGCTCAGAAAGCTAGTTTGTAATCCAACTAAATAAAAAATATATAATTTTTTATCTGTAGTGTATTAGATTATGTTCTTTGCATATGAAGCTAATGTAGCAAAAGCACTGGAATATTGCATGGTCAATGGAGAAGAGGAAGAAGTGGAAAAGTAGGCATGATTCTTTGCTGGCATTGAAACCTCAACATTATGCAGCATCTTTAAAGTTAAATAATTTTAACAAAAACTGAGTTGTGTGCTACTTTCTCATTAGGCTGAATGAATAACTGGCTCTAAATGTAGGTATTGTGATATAAACTGAGTCTGTTCTACAGTTTCTCATTAGGCTGAATGAATAACTGACTCTAAATGTAGGTATTGTGATATAAACTGAGTTTGTTCTACAGTTTCTCATTAGGCTAAATGAATAACTGACTCTAAATGTAGGTATTGTGATATAAACTGAGTCTGTTCTACAGTTTCTCATTAGGCTGAATGAATAACTGACTCTAAATGTAGGTATTGTGATATAAACTGAGTCTGTTCTACAGTTTCTCATTAGGTTGAATGAATAACTGACTCTAAATGTAGGTATTGTGATATAAACTGAGTCTGTTCTACAGTTTCTCATTAGGCTGAATGAATAACCGACTCTAAATGTAGGTATTGTGATATAAACCGAGTCTGTTCTACAGTTTCTCATTAGGCTGAATGAATAACCGACTCTAAATGTAGGTATTGTGATATAAACTGAGTCTGTTCTACAGTTTCTCATTAGGTTGAATGAATAACTGACTCTAAATGTAGGTTATTGTGATTCATATATTGAGTTATCTCAATTGTCTGTCTGTCTTAGAGATAAATTATGACAATTCTAATGGCGGCTGTACACTAGCGCTAGTGTGTCTGCTCATGTGAGTGTGTGTGTGTGAGTGTGTGTCCACACTGGCGCCACGGTGTCTCCCTTCTGTTTGTGCTGCTGCTGTTTCCTAGAAGAGTAAAAATCAATTCCCCCTCACTCTCCTCTTACAGAGAGAGACGCACACAAACAGATTAGCACATTAGCTTCATTTAATCGCCTAGCAAAGAGCGATGAGCAGCGAGAGAGAGAGGGGAAGAAAAGAAGATAGATTTCCACAGTCGAGAGTCGTTCCTGCTCTCAGTCAGAGCCCGTACAGTAATGTAATACAGTGCTGTATGTAACTCGAGCTCCGTCCAGCCGCGGCCCGGTAACAAACCCGCTTCAGCTAAAGAAACACAGAAACACCGCCTGCGCCCACATTACGGGACTGAAATGGCACGTCTTACCAAACAGGTGTGGCTTCAGCCTTATTGGAGCTGGATTAGCTTTAGCAGAGGAGGCCTGGTGATGTTACCTGTGCATGATTTGACTGGCTGATTCGTACAGAATAAAGGATCTCTGTAATTTCCTCAAATCACCCCAAATAGCCCAGATTGAAACACCATTGCACAGACCTTTACGCCAGCATTAAGTGCCACACTTCCGAACAATAACAACACATAGGGTCTCATTCACCAGCCATTCTTTCTTCTGAAAGCCCGCTTATGGCGTTTTTACGAAGATTCTGTCATTCACCATTTGTTCTTAGGTAAGAACAGAATCTACACACACTCGAGCACAAAGGTGAGAACAGTTCTGCGCTTTAAAAACCCGTCATGAATCTGGTGCAGACTTTTTCTTAGGACCTTTCTCAAGAACACGTTTAAGAACAAACTTATGAAGATATTGGTGAATGAGGTCTAGAGTTCTAAAGGGCGAATATGCCCAATATTTACATCACATTTCAGTGACGCCTGTTATCAACGGCAATTGGAAATGATGGTACATAATCACAGAGTATGGGAGGGAATATACACTGAATTGGGTCTCAAAGCTGCTTTTGGTGACTGATCGAAGTGCCGTGAAAGAATCGAGTACCTAAAACGAAGATATAAAGACTCCAGCAAATATAACAGGAGGTCAGAAGAAAGACCACTGCAGTGTCCTTATTTCAATGAGATGGACACAATATTGGGTCAGTGCTGCTTATTTGATACAAGGAGGCTACCGCACACTACATATAGTTCTTAAAGGGTTCTTTAGTAAAGAAAATGGTTCTATTTAGAACCATAAATGCTCAAAGAAGCCTTTCCATGATTAAAGGTTTCTTTGGCATCATGAAAGCGTTCTTCAGGTTGATGGAGAATGTGTTTTATATATATATATATATATATATATATATATATATATATATATATAGATAGATAGATATATATATAGATATAGATATATATATATATATATATATATATATACACAGAACCTTTTTCAAAATTGTTCTATATACAGCCAAAAAGCATTCTTCTGTTGTTACACACTTAAAAAATATGGTTCTTCAACGGTTCTTTAGTAAAGAACCATGGACACTCAACGAACCCTTTGCATGATTAAAGGGTTCCTCAGATGATGAAAATAGTGCTGCAGATAGTTCTATATAGAACCTGTTTGAAAAGGGTTCTATATAGCACCCAAAAGGGTTCTTCTATTGTTACAAGCTTAACATTGTAACAGTAGAGGAACCCTTTATCATGCAAAAGGTTCTTCGAGTCTTCATGGTTCTATATAGAACCATTTTCTTTACTGAAGAAACTCTTGAAAAATCATCTTTTTTAAGTGTGTGTAACAATAGAAGAACCCTTTTTGGCTCCTAACCATGCAAATGGTTCTTTGAGAGTTCATGGTTCTACATAGAAACATTTTCTTTATTAAGGGACCATTGAAGAACCATATTTTTTAGTGTGTACTGCTACATTCTGTGCAACACATTTTTATGAACCGCTAAACAGCTTTATGGAGCCGCTAAAAATGAATTACCATTATAGGACAGAAAACGCATCGTCTTGTTTCGAGATATTTCATTTTCTTACTCCTTGTCATTCAGTCATCACCAAAAAAATATGGATTTCAGTATCTTTGTCATGAACTTTTAGCTGAGTAGTCGTTTTCTATTACCCGGCTTTGTTATTGCATTACTGAGATGATTTGAACAGGACTACTTTTACTGAAAGAGATCTGACTTTGGCAAGTCATGGAAGTTATTTCTCAAATTATTACTTCACAGTATCTTGTGGGCAATTACTCAAAGTACAGCACACCCCCAGATAAACAAATCTGGCTTTAGACAGGCCCAGAAGATTGAAGGGCTCGATTTGATGGATGCCATCCCCACGGTAAAAAAAGAAATGACAAAAGCCATCCACCTTGTAAAATGACCGCCCCCACTTTCCATCCCCTCTGGATCACTTAAGATCTCTATTATCGATATTTTACTGCAAGCTCTGTAGACGTTTTAAAAAGAAAAGCAGGTTTGATAGCCAGCTTTAACTAACGAGAGATGTCTGAAGTTAATAAACCTGAAAATTATAGATTATAATCTTCAGGGATCATCTTAATATGGTGATGGGTGTTAACATTGTGCCTGATATTCTAAAGCAGTAGCTCATGCCTTACAGTTTTTTGAGGATGGAAGATGGCTGCGTTAGAGAGCTGAATGACCACAAAACAGCTCAGAGTCTAAAAGAGGATACCAGTGACCCTGATGCTAACTGTCAACAACAGAGCTAACGAAAATGGTTTGAGTTTGAAACATTTTGTGTGTGTCCTCAAATACACTTAATACAGCTGTAACAGAATGAACATGTGGATTGATTATTATAACAGAGAGGTTAAACTTTGTAGTATATGTCATACTTTGATATATAATAAGTAAGATGACACATTTGAAAAGGTTTTACCTCCTGCCCCACCACCACCACCGGTTAGGTTACCATCCCCTCAACTCAATCACTGGTTAGAAGAGCTGAGATGACTCAGAACTCTTATCAATACTGAGTGTGTTTACATGCACCTAATAATCTGATAACTGCAGAAAATCAGATTGTGTCAGTAACTGGTTCAGTGTGTTTACACTTAACAATCTGATAACTGCAGAAAATCAGATCGTGTCAGTCAAGCATTGCTGGTTTCAGTGTCGCTCTAAAAGAGTTTTGTTGCGTCTTGCAGGTGCTGTGTTAAACGCTGCTTGCTGTTTTCGCACGTGCACCGAGAAAAACGAAAGAAATCAGAGTAAGAGTTTGCATGCACTGAGAGGCCAGATTACTGAGCTCAAATCCAGCTCTCATTATTAGATTTCTTAATCAGATTTCTAGACCTTTATCTGATCAAAGAAATCAGTGAGTGTTGTTTACACGACCACTTAATAATCCGATAACTACAGAAATCTGATAATGATCAGCAACGATAAGTGCATTTAAATGCATTTGTTGATAATGAAAACAATTTCATTTTGTGCAGTTGAGAGTTTGACCTTTGATCCTAAACTCCAGTGCTGGTTTTACCCCCTTACACACTCGATGTGGTGCTACACGCCATCAGAAACAGTGTTTTCCTTTCTTTGGTGTGGCGGTCGGTCATCGTTTTACACATTCTTTGTTTAGTTAGAAGGTTGATGGGTATACAAGCACTTGGTTATTTTCACGTTTGCCTCCATCAAACAATCTATTTTTAACTTTCAGTAGACAATCATTGTATTAAAGCTATCCTTCAATTACCTTCTTGACTTAATAACCGTTTCATATCCATAATGTTGCATGGAAATAAAGACATCTAAATATGTTGCAGTCCGAGTAATACACATAAACATTATTTGATCTCTCCACCGTGATCAATTAGCAATTACGCATTCAGCTGATCCGTTGTAGGTGTCTGGCCCCGGTCTATCAACAATACTTCCGCAGGCCATGTGACAAATACAAATGCTTCTCATGTGCTCGGCTGCCATTATTAGCAGCAGCTCCTGTTGCAAGAATGATACGAGCGTCTGAAAGGAGTCAAATGTTAGAAAAGCTGTTGTGGTGCCCAGTCTCACATCCCCACCCTCATCTTACTTCCTCTTGTTTCCGGTCACAGCATTTAGAGATGTACATATCATCGCCATGAATCAACAACTCTGGGAGGAACTCTGGAAGGCATAGGTAGATGTGTATGTGCCTGACTTTTTACAGTTTACTGCGCTGGCTTGCATGAAACCGTGCTAACTTGCTAACTCTAGCTGAGGGTCCTTGGGAAGTGAAATCAGGATGGGGCACAGCAGCTCCTCTGATGGCACACCAATTTCTGATCCAGACCGATTGAACTTCTTCTTCAGTTTGCACCAAACAAATAAACCACGGTTCCCCAAACATTACAGGTCTCAAGCGGCTTCAAAGCAAACTGTGGTTCAGTTCGCTTGCTGGGATGCATTTTTGAAGGAATTCAACATCAGAGCACGCTGTTCTCAGAGCTTGTCACCACTCTACTGTCTGTGTAGTCTGCTTGTCTAACATTTGACTCCTTTCAGATGCTCGTATCATTCCTGCAACAGGACCTGCTGCTAATAATGGCAGCTGAACATTGGAGAAGCATTTGAATTTGTCACATGGTCTGCAGAGGTATTGTTGATAGATCGGGGCCAGACACCTGCAACTGATCGGATTAATGCGTAATTGCCAATCGATCATGGTGGAGAGATCAAATAAGGTTTATTTTTATTACTCTGACTGCAGCACATGTAGATGTCTTTATTTTCATGCAACAGGATATGAAATGGTTTATTTAATCTAAAAGGTAATTGAAGGAGAGTTTTATTACAGTAATAGTCTAGTGACAGTTAAAAATAGGTTATTTATTGGAGGCAAACATGGAAGTAATGAGTGCTTCTATACCTATCAAACTTCTAACCAAACAAAGAAAGTGTAATTTCAAACCTGCCTTTTATAAGTGAAGTCTTAGAAAAAGTTGTTTTCAAACAATTAAATGCATAACTAATATCAAACAAGTTATATGAGAAGTTTCAATCAGGTTTTTGTTCTAACCATAGTACTGAGACAGCATTGGTTCATGTTGTGAAAGACCTCAGGCTCAGCGCTGATGTACAAAAACCTACTATTCTAGTTTTATTAGATCTTAGTGCAGCTTTTGATACCATTGACCACAAGATTCTAATCCAATGTCTTGAACGCTGGGTCGGCATCTCGTGCGGAGTTTTAGAATGGTTTAAATCATGTTTAGGTAAGAGGCAGTTCATGGTTTTAATTGGAAATCATTCATCAAAAAATTTGGCATTTCTTGCGGAGTCCCTCAAGGCTCAGTTTTAGGGCCCTTGCTTTTCTCTTTGTACATGCTACCTCTAGATGATGTCATTAGGAAATATAATATAAATTTTCATAGCTATGCTGACGACACTCAGTTATACATTTCCATTCCTTCTGATGATCAAGACTCTGTAGACAGACTAACCAGCTGTGTGTCAGATATTTCTCAGTGGATGTCGAAAAATATTCTATAATTAAATCACGAAAAATCTGAAATTCTGATCGTCAGTACAGAAACTCAGAGAAAGCTGCTTTGAGAAACTTGGTTCTTTAGTTTCATATACCAAACCCGAAGGAGGAAACCTGTGTGTGCTCTCAGACTCTGAGCTCTGTTTTATCTGCATGTAAACACAGTCACTGAAGTAGCTTTTTATCATTTGAGAAATATCACATCTCAGAGAAACGCAGAGAAACTTGTTCATCCATTTTTTACAACCAGAGTTGATCACTGTAATGATCTTCTTACTGGACTTCCTAAGAAAACAATACATCCTTTACGACTCATACAAAATGCATCAGCATCCTAACAAAAACAACACAGAGAGATCAGATCACTCCCATTTAGAATGAACTACACTGGCTGCCTGTATCATGCAGGATAGATTTTAAACTTCTGCTACTCGTTTTTAAAGTTCAAAATGACCTTAAATCACTGCTTACATCACAGTGTCTGTCTGTTTATGTTCCAGCACATAATCTATGATCTGCAAATAGTGACCTTCTGCAAACACCTTCACAAAATACAGAAAACATGGAGAGACTCTTTCAGTTATTCTGCTTCTAAACTGTGGAGCTCAGTTCGCCTTTTATTAGACAGTCAAGCTCAGTGATCACTTTTATTAAACATCTGAAAACGCAGCTCTTTAACTCAGCACTTAATTAAAAGTCTACATCTTGTGGGGTTTATCTTTTAATTTGATCTGTATTATTTTCTCCTATGATTCTAAATTAATACTTATAATTTCTCCTATTACTGTTAAGCTTCGTCTCCTGTCTGTTAAGCACTTTGAGCTGCCACCGGCATGAAAAGAGCTTTACAAATAAATGTTATTATCATTATTACTATTATTATTATTATTAAAATGGTAACCAACCAAACCAAATGAAAAAGAGTTTCACAAAAACCCAAACTCTGGGCCAGAATTTCAACAGCAGATCAGTCTTAAAAAGTTAAGTGAACAGACAGGATAAACACATCAACGAGGACACAAAGTGTCACTGATGTGAAGCACTGCTGTTCTGAAGCATCAAAATCTATGTGAGTGCTAATAGCACCCCTTGTGGAGAATCTTCAGCCTGCTAAACATGAGGGAGTGAGTGATTGAATGAGTTCAGTGAGGTGCTTCGCAACTAAAAACAGCCGATAAACATCAGTTTCTCTCTTTCTCTCTCTCTCTCAGGTGTAATAACCGGACACAGTGCGTGGTCGTTGCAGGGGCCGACGTATTTCCTGACCCCTGTCCAGGAACATATAAATACCTGGAGATCCAATATGAGTGTGTTCCATACAGTGAGTACAGTCACGCATACACATATTCACCTGTTAACATGCATATATACCAAAACTGTCACACTCACTTACAGACGGGTCAATGACAAATAAAGCCTTTAAAATGATAATCTATAATTTTTCGAAATAAAATAAATAATAAAATTATTCAAAATAAAACACAAACAATTGTACATGTATTTTGTATCTGTATCTGTTTCATAGCCTTCATAATGGTATAAAATCATTTAATCCATTTTATCCAAACAGGATCATCAATTTTACCACCCAGAAAATGTCAAGTGGCGCAACCACACATTTTTATGCACTCTTAAAAAATATGGTTCTTCAAGGGTTCTTTAGTAATGAAAATGGTTCTATATAGAATCATTAATATACAAAGAACCCTTCACATGATGAAATGGTTCTTTGAATAGTGAAAGCGTTCTTCAGATTGATGAAGCGTGTGTTGTATATGGTTCTATACAGAACCTTTTTGAAAAGGGTTCTATATAGCACCAAAAAGGGTTCTTCTGTTATTACGATGTCGAGCTTGTAACAGTAGAAAAAGAACGAGGAGCGACTTCAGCTTGGTAAAAAGTCGAAAGTTGAGAGACATTTTATAAGAAACTGTTCTACTTTTGAGGAAAAGTTTCCTGCTGGAGATGCGAGAAAAGCAGCTATAGCTGAGTTAAAGCTTAAAGCAGAGCAAAGGAAGTCTGTGTTTTTGTTTATTTTATATCTGTAGCCTAAACTAGTACATCAGCACACACAGAGACATATTTACAGCCAAGATGGTAAGATGGACATAAATGTTGTGGCTCCCAAGGTGCTTTGATTTTTGTTGAAAGGACAAAAGGGCTCTTCTTAACATTTGGGTTGCCGACCTCTGACCTAAGCTGTTAATCAGTCATAACGGTCTTGATCTTTCCTGGAGGCTCCTTTCATATCTAAACATGATTGCATGACCTGAAACATATTAGAAACTTTCATATCATTCCTAGTACTAATTTACTAGTACAAAAAACAGTGAAGTTAATGAGATAAAATGTTACACATCTTGTTGGAATTGAGGTTTGTAGTTGGACGGTCGCACCACCTGACATTTTAAGATTTTGGGAAAGATAAATTCCTGAAATGAGTTTTGGTTTGGTGCACTGAAAATGAATTTACACAAAGCAAATTTTATAATTTTTAAAAATACTTATGCGGCAGCCCTCAAAATCTGAGAAATATTTAAATAAATAAACATATAGGAGTTAATGTTTTCGTGAGCGAACATAGCGGTTTTGCTGTGACATCACCTGTATAAGTAGAGCCCTTTACTTACACTATATGCAAAGGGCTCTACATACACTGATGGTGTAATAGACCCTGCTGGGTCCACTATATATATATGTATTTATTACATTATTTAGTAGGAAAATATTGCATGTCTTGTCATTGACCCCAAAACATTAATGTACAAAAGTATGCACTGTATACATACACTCACACATAAACACTCATACATTCACACACATAAAAACATAGTACATCATACATGAAACAAAAACACTACTGCACAAACACACACACACACACACACACACACACACACACACACACACACAAACCTCACACTTTCATGTGTACAAGCGGAGATGTGTATTCATACACACACACATCCATGCCTACATGCTCCTCCTCTTCTTCAGACACACACACACTTCAAGCAACCTCTTCTTTCTTCTTTAAAAACCAATACCCCATCCATCTATCCATCCATCCCAGTCCTGTCCTCCTCTCTTCTCTTCTCTTCTCTTCTCTTATCTTCTCTTGTTTCGTTCTCTTCTCTCCTCTTCTTTTCTTTTCTTTTCTCTTCTCTTCTTTTCTCTTCTCTTCTCTTGTTTCCTTCTCTTCTCTTCTCTCCTCTTCTTTTCTTTTCTTTTCTTTTCTCTTCTCTTCTCTTTTCTTCTCTTCTCTTCGTTCTCACCTTTTACTCTCAACCCCTTTTTTAAATGGCCTTTCCCTCCCATCCCTCTCATCCCTCTCTCCCCCCCTCCCTGTCTTCACCCCCTCCCTCTCTCCACTCCTCCACTGGGTGTAGTGTTTTTTTCGGGTGTAGTTCAGGTGTAATCCTTCTCTCTTTCAGTAGGGGGCAGCCTGGGAGAGCCTGACTGTGGGTTTCCTTAAAAGCTTCTCATTTTTTCCTCTTTCTCTCTAACACAATCCCTCTCTCCTTTCTCTCCCCACAGGACAGGGCCGGTTCTTATCCTGCAGGGTGACTCACTAACTCAGTCATTCATCATTCGTCTGTTTCTTTAATTTTCATTTTCCTCTTCTTCTCCTTTGCGTATTTGTTTTGCTATTCATACCGAACAAATTCTATTGCAGCTTTCGCACGTCAGAGCGTTGCGTTTCAGACCGAACCGTTTCTCCGCTCAGGTGTGATGCTTGGGTTGTTCGTTAATTCCTGCTTCTTGTGTTTTCAGATGAACCTCCCCTCGCCACCCCAGACCCCCCACCCCCCCAGCACAGGGTAATGGTACGGTCCAGCCACGATCTGCCATTTTCACTCTGCTCTCTGTTTCAGCTTGGCCAGCATTCTGATACTGACTGTTTACTCAGGAGAGAGAGAGAGAGAGAGAGGCTGTGTTTGTGTATGTGTTTGTTTGTTTTACAGACTTGGTCGTGACACAGCTCGCCCAATGCCTTTTTTTCCAAAGCTGTGGTCAGTTCCAGTGTCCTCTGTCTGAAAAGACCAGAGTGTTTGTGACACGTTCCCCGTTCCCCTGGGAGAGCGTTCTCTTATGCATGCGAGTGTCTGCGCATGTGTCAGCCCAGATTAATGTCAGCGTCGGAGAGCTGACATTAGTTTTCCCATCCGCAGTTCTGTGTGTGTGTGTGTCCATGCAAATTAGCATCAGCGAGAAACGCTGTTGATTTGAAGGCTCTCTGCATGTGTGATTGAGTGAACGTGTTGCCAAGGAAACAAAAATACAACTCTGACTGCCCTGGATCTGAAATATACCTTCTGTACATGTTCTAAGTGTAATTAAAGGTGATTTGAATGTAGATTCATGGTTGCAAACTCCATAAAACCGTGACCGGTTCACTGTACAGTGGGAAGATTTCAGACTGCACTGCAAAAAATGGCATCTTGTCAAGTGAAATGATCTTAAATCTAGTTGTAATATCTAATAATTCTCGTTTTGAGATGGTTGTGCACCTATTATAAGATTATTTAACTTATTTCCAGACACTTTTCTTTGTTTTAGGTAATTTTATTGTGTAAAATTCACTATACTGGTGGATCATTTTGCTGGTTTCAAGCATATTTCTTAAAAAAGACAAAATTATCTGTCAATATAATGAGATAATTTTACTTAAAGCAAGTAAAAATGTCTAGATGTAAATAATCTAAATGTAAATAATGGTGTAAATAATCTTACATTAAGCTTACACCAATCTCAACAGGAGAAATATCAGATTTATCGACTATATTTAAAAACCTCTTCAACTCCTTGAGACCACCGGTGGTCCCAAAACGCACTTCTTCATAACTTTCATATTTTATAAGCTACATTCTAAAGGTGGGGGTCGTATGAGAGCTGTAACTGTCTTCTTTCCAGTCAAATAGATGGGTGAAGTAATTTTAAACCCTTATAATAAAAGAAGCTGAACTAATTTTTTTTTCTACTGAAAGTCGACCCATTTTTCCACAAATCTGGGCTATAAACTATAAACAGATGGCGTCTCTTCAGTGATCTGCTCTGTAAAAATGATTCTATAAAATAATACAAAGAGCGTCTAAGATTTTTAGCTTTCAGCAGTAAATTGTAAGCATATAGCAATATGTGTATCACAAAACACATGTTCTGTTAATTTTTTACTAAAAATTTCACTAAAAATAAATAAGTAAAATAAATATTTACATTTCTTTCATGGAGTTACTGTAATACAATAATTTGCCTTACGATTTGGTCATGTAAATTCAGATGGACAAAACAAAAAAATACTATGGAGAATAAGAGTTTAAGATGTTTTTTTTTGCTTGACAAGACACCATTTTTTGCAGTATGACACCAGCTCTCCAGAACAAGATCTCAGATCTTCTGGACTGACCATCTCAGATTTGTTTAATTCTTTCAAGAAATATCATCACCCTCTGATTTGAGGTGGTTGTTCAGCTCAAATCACCTCAAATGGAGGGCTGGTGTCCTGCACAGTTTGGTCATTCCTCGACTCAAACGCACCTACAAAACCTCTATTGCTAAACTGTGCTGGACACCATCCCTCCAGGACCTCCAGAGTTACATCCACCTCAAATCAGAAGGTTCCAGGAAAAGTTCTGGACTGACCATCTCAGATTTGCTTTATTCTTTCAGGAAATATTGTCACCTTGTGATTTGAGGTGGTTGTTCAACTCTGGTCCTGGAGGGAAGGTGTCCAGCACAGTTTAGCAATAGAGGCTTGGTAGGTGTGTTTGAGTCGAGAAGTGATCAAACTGTGCTGGAAACCAGCCCTCCAGGACCCTCAGAGGTGGGTCCACTTCAAATCAGAAGGTTTCAGGAAAGGTTCTGGACTGACCGTCTCAGATTTGCTTCAGGAAATATTGTCATTTTCTCCAATAATAATAATAATAATAATCATATGCACATTTTTTGGCTTTTACCTTTAGCTTCTGAGTTCTAGAGACTTTAAAAATAGGTGTGGCCTTTTTGCTAACTTAAGATAGAATAAGTTAAAATCATATTTCCAAACTATTGATGGTAGATGCATGAAATGTTTTTATTGATTAAATGTGCATTTAACTACAAAACAGATGCATGTTTGCCTTTTATGGCTTTATTAATATCAGGATGTTTTGGGCCTCTTTTTTTTCACACTTAAGCACATCAAAAAATACTATTTATGAATCATCTTACAGTACATTTTGGCAGCAAAGTAACGTAGTAATGTGAGGGTTTATTATAATTATATAATGTTATATTATATAAAATTAAAAATAAAAAAAAGGGAATAGAAAATAATTTATAAGACCTATAGGAAGGGTCGTAATTAAAAAAAAAAAATGTACCAAATATGAAGTCTTTATTTAAGTCTGTATTTATCAAAGATGTACCCTGCATAGAAGAGAGAAATATAAACTACACACTTCATGCTACACAATGATGATTAATCTGTATTTCATTTAAATCTAGTAATCTGTCAAATTCCGTTAAACACAGTTATACGATTTAATAAACTAAACCATCAGAAAAGGTGACGGTTAAAAACAGTGAAATAGTTGATGAAAGTGGGGCATCAATAATGTTCCTTATCTGCATCAGAGGAACCAAACAGATCTCCTCTTGTTGCTCCTCTGATGCTGAAGACAGATACATCTCGGTTCCTTACTAGAGACTGCTTAGTTGGAATTTATTAAGTTGGAGTGTACTAGCTTTTGGCGGGGGCCATCTTTACACTGCACTCATAAAAAAGATGGTTCTTTAAGGGTTCTCTAGTAAGGACAGTGGTTCTATATAGAACCATGAATGCTTGAATAACAGTGTGGATGTTTAAAGGATGCTTTGCATAATGAAATGGTCCTTCAGATTGATGGAGAAGTGTGTTTTAAATGGTTCTATATAACACCAAAAAGGGTTCTTGTAACAATGGAAGAACCCTTTTGAGTGCTATACAGAGCCATTTTCAAAAACGTTCTATAAAGACCCATATGCAACACATTCTTCATCAAACTGAAGAAAGATTTCACCATGCAATGAACCATTTAAGAATCATGCAATGAAATGGCTCTTTGAGTGTTCATGATTCTATACAGAACAACTGTCTTTACTAAAGAGCCCTCGGAGAACCATCTTTTTAAGAGTGTAGGTAAAGATATGCAGCTGTCTAAAGCCCCCATGAGCCAAGAGCCCCATGTAAATACAGATTAGACATTCTGTATGTGTTAATGTTAAATTATTCCAAAATATAGACTGTAAAAATAGCTGTTATTTGCAATTGTAGTGATTATATTCAGTAATTTCATTATTAAAATAGATTATTCCATGTTGTTATGTGAAGACGGGTGTGAACAAGGCAGTTCAGAGAAAATTTTACATTACAGAGAGGAGCTTCTTTAGCGTGATTTGCTGGGAGTTGAGAGGAAAAATCTAATGAAGTTATACAAGCGCAGCAGTGAGACGCAAAAAAGTGGGACGGAAGTAAAGAGTTCATCTCTAACGCTAACTCAGGCTCAGCAGGCAGAGCACAATGCTAGTGCTGATGTTAATAAAGATAGCTCCAGTCTTAAGTAATTCATTGCAAGTTATTCATTGCTTCTCTCAAACTGTAGTAAATGTTTCGTATTACATCCTGGGAAAAAGTAATCTTTCTACTCATTACTTTACTCCTACATTACTCCTTATTACTCTGTTGGCAAACAAGTTTGCTTCTTTCAAGCTTGTTTCTTAAAACAAGCAAAATGATCTGAGAGAAGTCCACTTACTGAAATCACTCAAATCAAACAGGCCTAGAAATGTGGCTATTGGTACCTATTGTTTCATAATAGAACTAATAATAGAACTAATGTCGCTGCTCTTGGAACAAAACCTCCATTTTTGATGTTTTTTAGTCATAATTTGAAAACGCCTGTTGGTCTTTACATTGTGTGTAAATTTAATGATGAATTGTCCAATTTTAATACCATACAAATATATTTATTTTCTGTTATTTGCTCTCTGTGACTTTAAGACTAGGTTGGTTTCTCTTCAGCAAGTTACTCTAGAATGGTCAGTTTCTTTTCAACGAGTTACTCTAGAATGGTCATTTTCTCTTCAACAAGGTACCCTAGAATGGTCAGTTTCTCTTCAACGAGTTTCTCTAGAATGGTCAGTTTCTCTTCAACAAGTTACCCTAGAATGGTCAGTTTCTCTTCAACGAGTTACTCTAGAATGGTCAATTTCTCTTCAACAAGTTACTCTAGAATGGTCAGTTTCTCTTCAACAAGTTACTCTAGAATGGTCAGTTTCTCTTCAACGAGTTACTCTAGAATGGTCAGTTTCTCTTCAACGAGTTACTCTAGAATGGTCGGTTCCTCTTCAACAAGTTACCCTAGAATGGTCAGTTTCTCTTCAACAAGTTATCCTAGAATGGTCGGTTCCTCTTCAACAAGTTACCCTAGAATGGTCGGTTTCTCTTCAACAAGTTACTCTAGAATGGTCGATTTCTCTTCAACAAGTTACTTTAGAATGGTCAGTTTCTCTTCAACAAGTTACTCTAGAATGGTCGATTTCTCTTCAACAAGTTACTTTAGAATGGTCAGTTTCTCTTCAACAAGTTATCCTAGAATGGTCGGTTTCTCTTCAACAAGTTACCCTAGAATGGTCGGTTTCTCTTCAACAAGTTACTCTAGAATGGTCGATTTCTCTTCAACAAGTTACTCTAGAATGGTCAATTCCTCTTCAACAAGTTACCCTAGAATGGTCGGTTTCTCTTCAACAAGTTACTCTAGAATGGTCGGTTTCTCTTCAACAAGTTACTCTAGAATGGTCGATTTCTCTTCAACAAGTTACTTTAGAAGGGTCAGTTTCTCTTCAAGAAGTTTCTTTAGAATGGTCAGTTTCTCTTCAACAAGGTACCCTAGAATGGTCAGTTTTTCTTCAACAAGTTATTTAGAATGGTCAGTTTCTCTTCAACAAGGTACCCTAGAATGGTCAGTTTTTCTTCAACAAGTTACTTTAGAATGGTCAGTTCCTCTTCAACAAGGTACCCTAGAATGGTCAGTTTCTCTTTAACAAGTTAATCTAGAATGGTCAGTTTGTCTTCAGAACACTTCGAACAACTGTTTCCTTCATAACAAATTATTTTTCTGACATTTTGAAAAATGGTGGAAGTCTTCTTTAGATGGGCGGTGTCCTATAGGTAGCTACGCACTTAAAAATGATGATTCTTCAAGGGTTCTCTAGTAAAGAAAATGGTTCTATGTAGACCATGAACACTCAAAGAACCCTTTGCATCATTAAAGCATTTTTCAGATTGAAGGAGAATGTGTTTTATATATATAGTACCAAAAAGGCTTGTACTATTGTTACAAGCTTGTATCATAACAATACCACAACTCTATTTGCTGCTATACAGAGACCTTTTTAAAAAGGTTCCATATAGAACCATCTACAGCTTATGCTCCATCAATCTGAAGAACCCTTTCACCATGCAAAGAACCCTTTAATCATGCATAGGGTTCTTTGAGTGGTCATGGTTCTATTTAGAGCCATTTTCTCTACTAAAGAACCCTTGAAGAACCATATTTGTTAAGAGTGTAAGCTGCACTTTTAGCAAAAAGGGCTGTATTTCGTACCAGAAAGGATTCTTTGGCTTATAACAATAGTGGAACCACTTGTGGTGCTATATAGAACCTTTTCAAAAAGCTTCTATATAGAACCATCTGCAGCTTGTCCTCCATCAATCTGTGGAAGCATTTCATGATGCAATGAACGCTTTAAACATGGAAGTGTTTCTTGGAGTGTTCATGCTTGTATATTGAACCACTGTCTTTACTAAAGAACCCTTGAAGAACCATCTTTTTTCAGAGTGTAGCCTAATTGTCTTTGTAACTATCTGTAAATGAAGCCTCATTGTGAGCTCAGATGTATCTGGGAAAATCTGAACAATGAAGCCCAAAGTTTTGCTCATCATGACTTCCTGAATATATTAATCTGAGATGGTCATTTGAGACGCCTTCAGTGATGACCCATGGACTTTAAACGGGTACTGTGGAACCCAAAGTTTCCTTAGCACAATTCGTTCCTCAGTCACACACCTCTGACCACCATCATCATCATCATCATCATCTGAAATGTTTTTTACAGTCTGTTGATCTGCTATCTCCTTTCTGTCCATTGACTCGCTTATCTTTTCCAGCTTTAGTTCAGCAGGACAGCCGGATGGATGGATGGATGATGGATGAAAGGAGGGCGGGAGGGGAGGGGAGGGGTGGAGGGTTGGAGAGAGAACAGGGGTGATGCAGGATACTAAAAGGGAATATTTGATGTTTCCGTAATTGAGTAATTCTTGGATAAGTACGTGAGTCCCTCTTCCCTCCCCTCATTCCCCATTCGTTTCAATTCAAACCCACCTCTCTCTCTCTCTCTCTATCTCTCTTTCTCTCTCCGTATCCCCCCATTATATGCCGCCCTGTCTATCCTGTCGGACCCCCTTCCTCCTCCTCCTCCTCCTCCTCTCCTCCTCTCCCCCACTCTCCACGCAGTAGGAAGTTTCTAACTGAATCAACTTCACTTGATTTTCAATTTTAAAGCAATGGGAAGACTGCTGTGTAAAACTGAAATATCTCTAAATCTCTCTTTTTTTCTCCAACATCTCTCTCTCTGCTCTCTTTCACTGTCACTTTGTCTCCTCTCCTCCTCCTTTTCTTTCTTCTCTCTCTCTCCTTGCTGCTCTCTCCCTCTTTCCTTCTCTCTTTTTCTTCCTTTTCTCTCTATCTCTCTCTCTCTCTCTCTCCCCGACGCTTGAGTAGAAGTGGACCAAAAAGGTAAAGACCATTAACGCCGCAGTTTCTCCTTCCTTCCTTCTCCCTCTTTCATTCTCTCTCTCTTTCTCTCTCTCTCTCCTTTTTTCTCTCTCTCTCCTCCGTTCTGCAAACCCCTGGCCCCTGTGATGTGGTCGAGTTTGATGTAACTCCTTTTTCTTCCTTCATTTTCTCTCGCTTCTTCTTCTCTTTCTCTCAGCAAAACCAAAACACACACAGACTCTCTCACTGTCTCTCCAACACGCTCTCGCACTTCTGCTCTGGCTCTCTCTCGTTCTTCCAGTGCAATGCAACCTCTCTCTCTCTCTCTCTCTCTCTCTCTCTCTCTCTCTCTCTCTCCACGCACTCACACACACGTATGTATTTCTCTTGCTGTTCTTTTCATTTGCTTGCTGTTTTAAACTCAATTCCGATTCCTCAGATCCAAGTGAAACCTCCTCCTCCTCCTCCTCTTCTCTCTCCTCCTCCTCCTCGTCCTCCTCCTCTTCTCTCTCCTCCTCCTACTCCTCCTCCTCATCCCTCTTCCTCCTTCCACTCGTCTCTTCATCCGTTCATCCCTTTGCTTCCCTCAGGATCAACGTGTTGTTTCATTTGTTGTCACTGAAAACAGAAAAAGAACAGATCTTCTCTTTTGGTGTCAGTAGTCAGATGAATGAAGTGCTCCTGAAGGTTTTCAGCCCCAGTGTTTATTTATGTCACTCTCTGTGAGGTGGTGTGTCCTGTGTGAGTGTGTGAGAGTGTGTGTGAGAGTGTGTGTGAGTGTGTGTGTGAGTGTGTGTGAGAGTGTGTGTGAGTGAGGGTGTGTGACCCTGAGTTGACCAGCCAAAGTCTGGAGTCAGAGCCTGAGCTCAGTGTAGCAGCCCTCTGTGCACTAACCGCATTCCATTCAGATCCAGAGGAACTTTCCCTCAGTCTGACTCTACCTCAACTAACCAGGTTTACATGTAGCAGGACATCTGTCTCTCTCTCTATCTGTCTATCTCTCAATTTCTCTATCGTCTCTCTATCAGTCTGTCTCTCTATCAGTCTCTCTCTATGTCTATCTATCTATCTATCTATCTGTCTGTCTCTCTATCTGTCTCTCTCTGTCATCTATCTCTCTATCTGTCTCTCTCTATCTATCTATCTATCTATCTATCTATCTATCTGTCTACCTCTCCATCTGTCAATCTCTCTATCTGTCTCTCTCTATCTGTCTATCTATCTATCTATCTATCTATCTATCTATCGGTCTGTCTGCCTGTCTATCTGCCTGTCTACCTGCCTGTCTGTCGGTCTATCTATCTATCTATCTATCTGTCTATCTATCTATCTATCTATCTATCTGTCTGTCTGTCTGTCTGTCTGTTTATCTATCTGTCTGTCTGTCTATCTATCTATCTATCTCTCTGTTTATCCGTCTATCTATCTAGCTTTATGATCTGTTGATACGTATATTTATCTGTCTATTTATCTGTCATTCTTGGCAGCTAGTTAGCTAAATGGCCTGTCTATGTCTGTCTGTCTGCCTGTCTGTCTGTCTGTCTGTCTGTCGATCTCTTACATCCACCCACTCACACTTGCACTTTAAGTCTGTTTGGTTAATCAGTGTTTTTCTCTCTTTCACGCAAACAGGCACACACACACCATCGGAAGTAGCACTGAAAGAAGTGTGTGTGTTTTTCTGTGTGTGTGTGTGTGTGTGTGAATGCTGCAGGATGATACTGTGACTCGATCTATTCCTCGATTACCTTAATACCTTCCCCTCTTTCCCTCTTCCTCTTTTTCTTCCTCTCTCATTCTGTCATTTCTTTCTTCTTCCTTTCCTTACTCTCCTTATTCTCTCTCTCTCTCTCTCTCTCTCTCTCTCTCTCTCTCAGTTTTCGTTTGTCCCGGCACTCTGGTGCGCGTGCTGGATGTTAGTTCAATGAAGGAGGCAGAGCATCAGTCTGGAGCCTGGTGTAAAGACCCCCTGCAGGCTGGTGACCGCCTCTACGTGATGCCCTGGACTCCTTACCGCACGGACATGCTGTTCGAGTATGCGTCCTGGGACGATTACCGGCAGAACAGAGTCACCACCACCTACAAGTGAGTGTGTGTTTGTGTTCATTTATATGTTATGAGATAATTTCTGTAGAAGTTCTTTTTTGCTGGTTTTTGCTAAGAACTGTACTTTTGCTGAGACTCGTCAGGCCTAGTTCTGCTTGAGTTATTGAGAGATGGATGGCAGAGTTTATAGATATGAACTGGCAGTATTAATCTCAACTGGTAACTGATACGAGTGGCTGCCTTTTCTGTGCTGGTGTAACTAAACTCAATATAAAGACTCAAATGTGTCCTGCATGAATGTGAATTCTTGATGACGTTGTTACCCCTGTGTTTCATTCTCAGGCTGCCGAGTCGAGTGGACGGCACAGGTTTCGTGGTGTACGACGGCGCCGTGTTCTACAATAAAGAGCGAACGCGCAACATTGTGAAGTACGACCTGAGGACGCGCATCAAGAGTGGAGAGGCCATCATCACCAACGCTAATTACCACGACACCTCACCATACCGCTGGGGGGGCAAATCCGACATCGACCTGGCCGTGGACGAACACGGCCTGTGGGTCATTTATGCCACAGAGGCCAACAACGGACGACTGGTGGTCAGCCAGGTGAGAGACCTAACGTGTGGTGGCCAACCCATTTGTCGTGATTGTGTTTGTCCCCTATAACTGCTTAAAATTTGCTCACAGAGTTCTTAGTGAGCATCATTTAAAGTGATGTTTTCTAGTGGTATATAAAAGAAGCTCAACGCTGCCTCTGCTGTTGGATGAATACGTTTCTGAGCAAGCGTGCAGAAGATGTTTGCTCAAGGATACTCGGCTAACTGTTAGAGGTGCCATTATTTGTCATCCAAACTTTCCATTTAAGTGACCCTTATTAGTCCCACAACGGGGAAATTTCACCTCCCCATTTTAACCCATCCATGCAGTGAAACACTACATACACACTAGTGAACACAGACACTGGGGGCAGTGAGCACACTTGCCCAGAGCGGTGGGCAGCCCTATCCATGGCACCTGGGGAGCAGTTGGGGGTTAGGTGCCTTGCTCATGGGCACTTCCTTCTCGTACTATTGCCTCAGGGGATCGAGCCGACGACCTTCCGGTTACAAGGCTGGTTTCCTAACCTCCAGCCTACGACTGACTGTTTCATAGGGGTGGCCGATGTGGCAAAAGTATTAACATGATACGTTATTTAGTTTTTTAAAAGATTTAATTAGTTTAATTACTTTATTAAGAATGCTTGTACACCTTCTCATGACTGTTGGTGCCAGATGGGCTGGTTTGAATATTTTTATAACTGCTGATCTAGGATTTTTGCACAAACAGCATCTCTAGAGTTAGTCAAAATAGAGCAAAAAGGAAAAAACATCCAGTGAGCAGCAGTGCTGTGGATGGAAATACCTTGTTGATGCCTTGTTGAGGTCAGTGGAGAATGGCCAGACTGGTTCAAGCTGACAGAAAGGTTATGGTAACTTAGATAACCGCAGAATGCACAACACTTCAAACCCTGAGGTGGATGGGCTGCAACAGCAGAAGACCATGTCGGGTTCCACTTCTGTCAGCCAAGAACAGAAAGCTGTAGTGGGTACAGGTCACCAAAACTGGACAACAGAAGACTGGAAGGACATAGCCTGATCTGTTCTTGATGAGGTACACAGATGGTAGAGTCAGAATTTGGCACTAACAGCATGAATCCATGGACCCAACCTGGTTGTGTTATCAGTCCAGGCTGGTGGAGGTGGTATGGATGTGGTGGGAAATGTTTTCTTGGCACACTTTGGGCCATTAATACCGATCAATCATGGCCTGAATGTCACAGACTATTTGAGTATTGTTGCTGATCATGTGCATCCCTTCATGGCCGCAACTGACCATCTTCAATTGGCTACTTCCAGCCTGATGATGCACCATGTCACAAAGGTGTCTCAAAGGCCATCTCAAACTGGTTTCATAGACATGACAATGAGTTTAGGGATCTTCAGTCACCAGTTCTGAAGCCAAAGGAACACCTTTGGAATTGGTAGAACGGGAGATTCACAGCGTGAAAGTGCACCTGGAAAATCTTCTTTAAGAAAAAGAGAGAGAGAAAGAAAGACAGAGAAAAAAGAGGGAAAAAGTGCAATTATCCGAATCAAAATTCTGTTTTTTCCCTATATTTTGTAATCTGATTGGCCGTGGTCCTTGCCTGCCACTGTCTGCTATGATCTGATTGGCTGTGGTCATTGAACGCTGTAATCTGATCGGCTGAGTGTCTTGTCTGCTGTAATCTGATTGGCCGAGTGTCCCTGAGTGCTGTAATCTGATTGGCCATGGTGTTTATGTTGCAGGTGAACCCGTACACTCTTCGTTTCGAGGGTACGTGGCAGACCAGCTTTGAGAAGCGGATGGCATCAGACGCCTTTGTGGCGTGCGGAATCCTGTACGCGGTGCGTTCGGTGTATCAGGACGACGACAGCGAGGCCGGAGGGGACCTGATCCTGTACGCCTACGACACGCGTCGTGACGCCGAGCGCCCTGTCCACATTGCGTTCCCGAACCCGTACCAGCACATCTCCTCCATCAGCTACAACCCCAGAGACAACCAGCTGTACGTGTGGAACAACTACAATGTCCTGAGATACCAGCTGGAGTTCAGCCCCGCACAGCCCACCAACGGTAATCATCACAGTCATAATCACGATCTTCACTTATATAATGCTTTTTATTAAAGAAGAACAGAGAAAAAGAAAGAAAGAAGAGTGAAAGGGATGATGAGCTCTCTAATTTCTTTTTCTTTCTTCATTTATGTTTATATTTCACTGCTTTTCTGGGCTGTTTAATATTTATAATTCTCTCTCTCTGTTCTCTCTCTATTTCTCTCTCTCTCTCAGACCCTCTCTCCACTCCTCTTCTCTCCTCCTCCCTCTCTCCTCTCTCCTCTACAGTGTTTCTGGGATTCAGCCCCTCGCCCCCTCCCTCAGTGACCTACAACCCTGCAGGGGCGATAAACCGCGCTCCGGCCGGTCGCCCCTTCACCGCCACCGTGCCGGTCACCGTGCGGCCACGGCGCACGCACACTCAAACTCCGCACACGCGCATGTGCGAGGGGCGCGTCAGCAGAGGGGTTCAGTGGCCCCCCACACACCGAGGAGAGACAGTGGAGAGACCCTGCCCTAAAGGATCGCTCGGTAAGACCTACAATCACCTAGAATAATAACAGCTTTATAGACTACAGAGCACTTTTCATGCAAGTACAGTAAGATTTGGGGTTAAAACTGAAAGTGTTGTTACAGAATAGGTCTGCGTGATAAACAGTTTTTATCGTTATCGCGATATAAGTTTGTGTGATAAACACATCGTTAAGAGCTGCGATGACTGAACCGGTCATTATATTACCGACACACACTGTGAGACTGAACGCTGCTCTCCCTCATAGAGGATGAGGGACTTAACCATTAGGCTTAACAGCCGAATCCTGAGTGTTGGATTGCGCCATTAAGAAGACCCCGTCTCCATGTTGGTAGGTGAGCTGTAACTCTGACTGAGCTTATCTCATCACCGTTACTGCAGATACAGCCCTGCAGGAGGATAAACACCAATAAAACAGACCAGAATGACCACAAAAACATGAAAACGTATGTAGACGCCTTAGATGCGTCTCCAAAAAAAAACACTACGAGGAGAAGACTGGTGGACTGAATCTGTACAGCCTGCATTCAAATTCATGAGATTTTACAGAAACTAATAAAAGTGGCTACCAGAACTGCCAAAGCTCTTAAATAATAAACTCATACACAGATATAAAGCTGAAGTCAGCTTCTTATTCACCAGCTTCAAATTTGAATTTTCCGTTTCACATTAAATGGTGTTGCAGTTACACTGAGGCACCTCAAAAGCTGAACGATTAGGAAAGTTGGTGAATACAAAGCCTCAATAAAAGCTCCTAAATCAACAAACCCCTCAAACATTCTCATGGAGGTGTTTAATAAGCAGCAAACAAACAGAGCAGCTGTTAAACGCGTCTCACTACTACACTAATGAGCACTGGCCAGTGCATGTCGCTAAAACACATGCAGGTGGAGGTGCAAAGAGTGTGTGCAGAGCTGCAGGACTTTACTGAGCCCAAAGTCGCCTAATATTGTTTTTAAACTCAAAGAAACCATAATGATGTCTCACGCTTTGAATACATTCTTTTTTTTTACTGTTTTTTTACTGTTTCAACTGTTATATCTCCTGCTTGGAGTGTGTTCATGTGTGTAAGAGTAGGAGTGATGCCACTGGTTACTGTGCCACACATGAACAATCTGATTGGATGTAGCTCCGCTTATTTGCATAAAGTTTGGAATCAGGGTGTGCATCAATGGTTTACTGTGTCAGTTGTGTGGGTATTGTGTGGGTCGCTGCGTTATGCTCTGTTTGATGTAAATAAAAAAAAAAATAAAAAGGAAAAAACAATTTTACATAACATTGACATCACTGTTCATATTCCAGATATGCTGCTTAAAATTTCAGTACCCCCCCCCAACTTAAAACACCTTCCCGCTTCCAATGACAAGTAAAATAAATGACAACAGTATTTTAATTAGTAACTAGGCTAAAAAGAATAGTTTTCAAAGGATTATTAAAAATGTGAACTAAACATGAAAGCAGATAAAGAACTGAATTAAATGAAAACCAAAATAAAATAAAATAAAATGGCAAGCAAATAAAACATAGATTTATATACTGTAAATATCTAAATAGATTAATAAACAAAAGCATGTATGTGTGTGCCTATATAAGAAGAAATAAATATTTATTTGTTTGTTGCTGTTGTAGAACAAGCTGTTGAGGTAATGCTGACTGTTCCTTTCAGTGCACAAAATATGCTTGCAGTTCAGATGTAAGCAGCTGTTGGTATTTAATTTCCTTTTGTTTTCACAATAGCAAAAGATGCTTTTGTAATTTTGTATTTTGCTATTTGCTTAAAGGAGAGGAGCTTAAGAATAATTGACTGTTGAATAAATATTGAATTTAAAATGTTGATTAGCTGGGCAATATGGATGCACATTTCTCAGTAAATAATAACCAAATCAACAATAGTATCTATAATTTTGGGTGTTGTTAGTTTATGCCTTGGTCTGTTTGGTATATATCTGCTTATTCTTAGACTGACAGATGGAGCAGACTGGTTTAAAGGAGGGAGGGTTGTGGTGGGACCACTGGGGTGTCAAGTGTGCCTGTGAGGCGATTGTTTTACATGCAGCAGAATTTTGTTCAGAGCCCGAGGGAGGTCGGGACCAGCTCTGCTACTAAATATCCTAGTGTGGGTCAGCGCTGCTGGGCCGGAGAGCAACAGAGACCAAAAGTGTATTTACAATATGTGAAGGCAGGGTAGTATTGTGGTAACATAAGACCCCAGTAGAAAGGGAGAGAGGGAAAGCAGCATGGTTTGGGGTGGAGGTGAGTCGCAGAGTCACAGGTAAGTGGTGTGTGTCTGGCCGGTTCTCTTAGCCTTCGGTCCTCTATAAGGCAGAGAGAGAGAAACCAGGGGAGAGAACACAGCACAGTAGCATAGGGCCGTGTATGAAAACACTCACCCGTTTGAGCTGAGAGCAGCGTTTTTATAGGCGCTGCCAGAAGCCGGGTCAGCAGTTATGCGCCGCCAGCCGGCCCCACCCATGAGTACAGCCACACACTCCCTACGATTTCACCATGAAACAAGATAAAATACATACAGCATCTAAACCGCTTATCCTTCTGGGTTGCGGTGGGGTGCTGGAGCCTATCCCAGCTGTCATTGGGCGGAAGGCAGGATACACGCTGGACAGGTCGCCAGTCCATCGCTGGGCAGACAGATAGACATACATATACAATCACACACACACACACCTAGGGGCAATTCAGCATGTCCAATCAGCCTGACTGCATGTCTTTGGACGGTGGGAGGAAACCAACGCAGACACGGGGAGAACATGCAAACTCCACACAGAAAGGACCCCGGTCTCCCTGCCAGGAATCGAACCCAGGCCCTTCTTGCTGTGAGGCGACAGCGCTACCCACTGCGCCACCGTGCCGCCCCAAGATAAAGTAGTGAAATATGTTAAAAATATTAAGAGAAACAGCCAAATGCATATTTATTTGTTTCAGGTGAAGAAGCTAAGTGTGTGCACAGTCACTCATTTAGCTGCCGTAGAGCTGAGAGATGGAGACCGTTAATCTGTACATAGTCTAAAACAATGTAATAATTTGTCACCCTGAGTGAGATTCAATCCTCAATCAAAGTTATTTCGCTTGCAATGGAACATGAACTTGAAGCAGTGGAATATGAACTTCACTGCATTTTGTTAGCAGCTTAACTGACTGTGAAAGCACCACAAAATAGAGATAAAAAAATTTACATCTTAAACTTACTTTATATATCTGGTTTACCCAGTCTACATGTGTTTTGTGGACTTGGAGGAGGCTTCCAACCATGTTCCCAGAGATATCCTGTGGGAGGGCCTTCGGGAGTATGGGGTGCTGGGGCCACTACCGCAGGGCCATTCAAGTCTCTGTACTCCCGAAGTGGGAGCTGTGTACGTATACTCTGCATTAAGTCAAGCTTGTTCAACGTGAGTGTTGGACTCACCAGGGTTGTGCCTTGTCTACACTTCTGTTTGTGATATTCATGGACAAGGTGTTAAGGTGTAGTCGAAGTCAGGAGGACGTTATGTGTGGAGGCCGAAGGGTGGGGTCTCTGCTGTTTGTGGATGATGTTGTCCTTTTGGCTCCATTGCATGGATGCCTCCAGCGCTCACTGAAACATTTTGCTCTCAGAGTAGAGTCGCTACTCCTCCACACTGAGAGGAGCCAGTTGAGGTGCTTCAGGCGTCTGATCAGGATGCCCCCTGGATCCCTCCTGGTGGAGGTTTGCCAGGCACGGCCTACTGGGACAAGACCCCGAGGTTGTCATAGGACCCACTGGAGGGATTATATCTTCAAGTTGGCCTGAGAGCAGCTCAGTGTCCCCCAGAATGAGCTGAAGGAAGTTGCGGGGGACAGGGTCTTCAGATCCAGACCCTATCTGGATTAAGTGGTTAAAGATGAATAAATGAATAAAAATGAATGATTTACAATCTGTCTCTTAATATCTTAAAAAGGCATGTATAAATGTGTAAATGTCGACTAAAGAACTGGAACATTTTAATTAAAAGCAAACGAACATACAAACTGGTTCATTATGAAACATTAATATTGATGTATTAGTGGTGATTTTTGCAAATAACCAATTAACAAACAAATAGTTAAAGCCTGTAAAAGCCTGTTGGGTCCAGCTCTGGTGTTCTTGTATCACAGATGTGTAAAGTACCGGTTCATCCCAGCATGACATGCTTTGTTGCTTAACTCAAGCACTTAGTAACAATGCAGAGCTCAGAATACTGTGTCTGTGATGATCCATCCGTCTCCAGGGCACGCTGCTTTGGATCAGGTTCCGGTCTCAGATTTAGCTCTACCAGTCAGCCTGGTACGAGTCGGGCTCAGGCTTCAGTTTCACACCCTTGCAGACCTCTAGACCCCTGTGGACCGTTCTACCAACTTAGTTGAAACAGTAAAAACTATTTAAAAAAACAGAGCTTAGATATTTACAAGGATAATGTTTTGATCTATTTAAATCCAAGACATTAATAAGAGATAGAGATAAGCTAAATATATACAATATCATAATTTATATGGTGCTTTTTATTGGGGGGTGTTTGTCCCAAACCCTAACCCCTAAATTTACAGTTGAGAAAGTAATATTTCATTTTTTATATATATTATTGATTTCTTTAAAAGCAGAGTTGAAAAATATAGAATAATTTAGTTTATTTTTTAAATGAAGTAAAATTAAATTTTAAACACTACTGAAGCACAAGAGAGTTTTAGTATGTAGGCGGAGCCTCATTTTAGCAACGCCCCTGCATTTTAGAGCAGGACGTGAAGGTTGCATCCCTGTCCCTCATGGCCACATGGTGAGAAGTTGAATTAAATGTGTCCCAAAGTCTGAAAATCAGTGTGGAACATTAAGAATCGTCACTATCGAAACACATTTTCTGCAATTAAGTCAACTTGTCTGTGTTTTAATAAAAAAATATTAGAATTTTATGTATGTACAGCTGTTCAGAGCTGTGTTTGCTAGTCATGTACTGGCTAGAATAACCAGCAAAACCTGCATGTCTTGTGATTTTGATGCTGGTATGCTGGTCAGCAGCAAGACCATGCTGGGGTGACCAGCACCACCAAAGCCAGACCAGCTTAGACCAGAAATGCTTGTTTGTCTGAGCTGTTTTTTTAAGGGGTCACGTTTTGGAGTTCTGCTCAAAAGAGTTCAAATTGTCACGACTGAAACATTTGGGAAAGTTTCAGTGGCGTTATGATTGTTTTGTTAGTGACAAAATGTAACGCTAATTCATTTGTTTAATAAAATAAATATAATTAAAGTGTAGCGTCACTCAAAGCTAAAATCAAGGTCAGTTAGAAGTCCAGCTGCTCTTGGAACAAAACTTCTTATCTCCATTTTTGTCGTTTTTCAGTTTTTGTCAGAATTTAAAAATGTCTGTTGTCCTTTACATTGTGTGTAAATTTCAGGATGAATGGACCAAAAGAAACGGCTTGGAAAAAATTCTGGTTCCATTGACTTACATTAAAAGTGCAGTAGGTTTTTTCCTTCTCCTGTAAAGTTACCATTTTGGAGGTATGAAGTTTTGTTCTGCGATATGTTTTCAGCTCTGACTTTGAACCCGTTCAGTATAATGATCCATACAGTGTGTGTATGTGTGTGTGTGTTTCCTCTTCAGCTGTTCTTAAAGCTGCAGCCTGGTGTCCTCTGAATGAACTTGCCTGGAGAGAAAAGAGAGACAGAGAGAGAATGAGAGAGAGAGAATGAGAGGGAGATGTGGGAGGGAAGAAGATGATGGTGAAATAGCAAATAGTGAGATTACAGAGTGGTGTACACTCACACACAGAGAGGCTTGCCAGGGGAGATCAGTACCCCCCATCAGCACCATCACTATGGAGATCAGAGGCTGGTGGATTTTAATTGAAATGGCGGGATGTGTGTATGTGTGAGACAGTGTGGGGCTGACGACCCAGAATCTGGATCTGCTGCACTCTGAATGAACCCAACAGCATGTGTGATTGTGTGTATTTGTCTTTCTGAGAGAGACACACATCCTCCAGATGAATGGGTGTCTGCACAGAGGAAGCACACCATCCTATGAGAGGCCTTTCAGGCCACCTGACCTCAAACATGCACTGTTACGCTGAAGATGTGATGCAACATGATGAAATGTAGTACAGTTATACCATGAATGGACATCCAACAGTACCAGGGCTGTAAAATGACTGAAAATAACAATTAGAATTTGTCTTATTTGACCAAATTTGACCCTAAACATTTTTTTTCCATTTTGAAAGTTTTTGGTGCAGCTATATGAGTAAATAAAATAAGCTCCATCAGAATGTATGTATTATCTTCTGTAATTCAGTAGCACTGTTGTCAAACCATCTTTTTAGGACAGCAGACAATGGAAGTCATGTTAAAGCTGTATTTGAACAAGAGGGCTACATTCACAGTCATAGCAACAGCATACGAGCCACTGGGCTTCAGGCTGGAACTACGGACGGTTCAAAGGGTCAAACTAGAAAAATGCATTAACGACACTGGAAAAAAATGAGTGGCATTGATATTGGACTTCATTTACACTGAATGAATGTAATCAGAACAGTTCAAATCTGGGCTGTTTAGTGTTAAAGCTCAGTTGGTGTCAATGCAGTAATTATCTCAGGACAACAACTTTGTTATCTCAGGATCTCAAGATAATTAACTTGTCATCTCAAGATGACAACTTTATCTTGAGATCGCAAGATAATTAACCTGTTTTCTCCAGATAACAACTTTGCTATCTTGAGATCGCAAGATAACAACGATGTTATCTTCAGATAACAAGTTAATTATCTTGCGATCTCGAGATAACAAAGTTGTCATCTTGAGATGACGAGTTAATTATTTTGTGATCTCAAGATGAAAATTGTTATCTTGAGATCACAAGATAATTATCTCCTTATCTCAACATAACTGTTATCCTGAGATCACAATAATTAACTCAGAAAATCATAACAACCTCATGGCCTCTGCGGACTTTTGGAACATACAAAGGATTTTAAGACATTAGATTTTCTATTTGAGTCCACTGGGGGTCCAAACTTTCTGAAATGTGTCCGTTTGGTGACATAGGTTGTTGTCAATTTTTCCAGGGGAAGCAGAGTTGCATCCTGAGACAGTCACTGCTCAACAGGTACTGGAGAGGGGCTGGTCTGTTTAATTTGGACCCACTTTTTTTCCAGAAATGGAAGTTTTTTTTTTTTTTGTAAGAAGTGGTTTTCATTTTTACTGTATGTTATGTGTTCTCTGAGCAGGGAGCTCACATCTACATGCTTATTTGGAGTTCCTGGGTTACTTTTCAGCCATATTATTTTACAGTACATTCATGTGCTACTGACCAGCTTGTTGTCCATCGGATAGTGTTGATCAGCACCCCATTGACTCCTACACTGAGCTCCATCTTAACAGGGTGTTGGACTGGTTTAGAAATTTCACACTCAGTTTGTTCCCATCCTATAAGTCTACACTCCCACCAACATTTAGCCCAAACATTCTCATGGTTATCCGCAGATGTTCCTGCTATGAGATCTCATCTGCCTTTGTGAGAATACAGTCCAGTGTGACTAATAGACTGACTTTAATGAGAAAAATTCACCTTTTTGTCTGATTAATTTTCAGAAGTTCTTTAGATTTGTGCTCAGGCAAATGCAGAGAACATGTGAAACTTTAGTAAATTTGTGAAAATTTTAAATTTCAGATATGAATTATTCTGAATTATATATGAGAATCCATTAGAGGGTTATATAATGTAAACGGCACCTGCCTAAGGACAGAACCCTGAGGAACCCCATTAACAATGTCCAGGAATTGTGACTGTTTTCCAAGAGCTCTTTTATTAAAGTAAGACTATTATTATAGCAGGTGAGAGCCTGCTGGTCAAGGCTAATTGAGCACAGCCTTTAAATGTGCAAATCAGGGTCAACTGTGTCAGAAGCCTTTGACAAGTCTGGAACAATAGCTGCTTTATCTGAAGTGCACATACAGTATAATTTACAGAAAGAGCCGGTGCCGAAGGTATGATATGGCCCTACTTAAACCAGACGTATTACAAACATTTTCTCTTCATGAAAAGCTCTTCAGCTGCGTATAAAATATTATAAAAGATTCTTCACAAATATTATTTCACGAGACATGAATTGATGTAGCATTATTTGAGTTTTCCTCCTCTTTTAGGAAGAGGTTTAACAAATTTCCAGGCCCTCAAGATGACATCAACCTCTCTCTCTCTCTCTCTCTCTCTCTCTCTCTCTCTCTCTCTCTTTCAGGCATAGCCTCCTATCAGTGTATGGCTGATGACGTGGTGTGGAACACCCGTGGTCCAGACCTCAGTAACTGTACTTCACCCTGGGTCAGCCAGGTCGCTCAGAAGGTCAGTATGGTCATGGGTCACCACCGATTACACACAAATCAAGACATTTGCTTAAAACTATTAAACAAGTGCTGATTTTTGCTACTTGACATGTAGCTTTTAATCAAATGCAAGCATAGACATGAATTCTGACAGTAAATTCTTGTCAATATCTCTAAAAGTATTGCTTGTATCTGACAATAGAAATCTCTCTCTCTCTCTCTCTCTCTCTCTCTCTCTCTCTCTCTCTCTCTCTCTCTCTCTTTCTGTTGCAGATAAAGAGTGGGGAGAATGCAGCCCATGTTGCTGCTGTGCTTGTCAATCACACACGGGGGCGTGTCTATGCTGGTGATGTCACTTCCTCTGTGCGTCTGATGGAGCAGCTCCTGGACATCCTGGACTCACAGCTACAGGCTTTGCGGCCGGCCAGCAAAGACTCAGCCGCCCGCAACTACAACAAAGTACGACATAAAAACATATGTCTTCACAGATTTCACACAGTTAATGCAGCAGTAAATATGAGGAAAATCTTAGATGTTAAAATGTGGAGAACATGAAGAAACGTTAGAAATGTCCAGAATGATGAACAGAGAGAAGATTATAAATAGACCAAGAATAAATTCTGAAAATTAACATCCAGAATGAAGTTTCAATAAAATTAACATCCAGAATGAAGTTTCAATAAAATTAACATTCAGAATGAAGTTCTAATAAAATTAATACCCAGAATGAAAAATTGAAATATAAATATTGTGGTGTGTATTTAATGATATTTTAATCTACTCTGTATGGAATATTATTGAACATTATAATGTTTATGTGTATGATGAAATCTCTGAGTCCCCTCTGATCTTTGACCTCATGTGTTCCAGCTCCAGAAGAGAGAGAGAACCTGCAGAGCGTTCATTCAGGTACGTGTGGAGATCAACCATCAGAACATCATACCTTCAGTAGCAGAGCTGGTCTGAGTGGTGGTGTGTGTAACAGAGCTGGTCTGGGTGGTGGTGTGTGTAACAGAGCTGGTCTGAGTGGTGGTGTGTGTAGCAGAGCTGGTCTGAGTGGTGGTGTGTGTAGCAGAGCTGGTCTGAGTGGTGGTGTGTGTAACAGAGCTGGTCTGAGTGGTGGTGTGTGTAACAGAGCTGGTCTGAGTGGTGGTGTGTGTAGCAGAGCTGGTCTGGGTGGTGGTGTGTGTAACAGAGCTGGTCTGAGTGGTGGTGTGTGTAGCAGAGCTGGTCTGAGTGGTGGTGTGTGTAGCAGAGCTGGTCTGAGTGGTGGTGTGTGTAACAGAGCTGGTCTGAGTGGTGGTGTGTGTAGCAGAGCTGGTCTGAGTGGTGGTGTGTGTAGCAGAGCTGGTCTGAGTGGTGGTGTGTGTAACAGAGCTGGTCTGAGTGGTGGTGTGTGTGAGTTTCAGCAGTGATGTTGGTCAGATAAGCGTCTCTCAGTCGGAGAGGTCAGTGTGAAACTCCAGAGAACCTGCTGGACGCTGGACACTCCGTATCACTGCAGCTGCTCAGGCAGAGGAAACTCACACTAAACAGTTTTCAAGGACACACGTGTGTGTTCATCTCTGTTTTAGTCAAATCATCACACAGAGTGTGTGTGTGTGTGTGTGTGTGTGTGTCTGTGTCTGTGTGTGTGTGTGTGTGTGTGTGTGTGTGTGTATGTGTCTGTGTGTGTGTGTGTGTCTTTTAGATAATGCAGATGCAAAAGGTCCAGGCTGCTAAGACCTCTCTCTCTCTCTCTCTCTCTCCCTCTCTCTCTCTCCCTCTTTCTGTCCTCTCTTTTTCTCTTTCCCTCTTTATCTTCTTTTTCTCTTTTTCTATACCTCCTTTTTTCTCTCTCTCTTTGTTCTCTCTCTTTTTCTCTTTCTCTGTTTTCTCTTTCTTTGTTCTCTCTTTGTCTCTCTATATATTTCTATTCTCTTTTTTTCTGTCCTTTCTGTTATCTCTTTTTCTCTCTCCTTCTTTCTTTTCTCTCTTTTTCTCTCTCCCTCTTTCTGTTCTCTCTCTTTTACTCTCTTCCTCCTTCTGTTTTTGCTCTTTTTTATCTTTCCCCCTTTATTTATATACATACTGTTTCTCTATTCTGTCTCTCTCTCTCTCTCTCTCTCTCTCTCTCTCTCTCGCTCTCTCTCTTCTATTATGGTTGATATGAAGCATCAAAATCATTTTAGGTCATTTTCCAATATTAGGATTATTGAAAGTGCCAAACTGATGACAGTGAGGTTTATGTATAAAGAATCATGCACTGTGGTTTTATGTCTGTTTCCTGTGTGTGTGTTCAGCAGTGTTTGCTCATGTTCTATTAGTTTCATTGACTGGATTAAAGCCTGAAAGATCAGATCTGCCTCCTCATTTAAGGACTATTCCAGCGTTTATCAGCCCCGTCTGTATCATACGGTCATACAGACGTCAGTGGGCAGCTACTGACGCTGAGGGTGAGAAATCTTCCTCTTTGAAGTGAGTGAATGATTCCCGTCCTCGTCCCAGGCTTTGGTCCAGACGGTGGATAACCTGCTGCGCTGGGAGGCTCTGGACTCGTGGCAGGACATGAACGTAACGGAGCAGTCCCACACTGCCACCATGGTGCTGGATGTCATGGAGAAGGCGTCCTTCCTGCTGGCCAACAACCTGTACGAGGGGCGCTTCAGTGACCGAGCGCCGAACGTGGGTAAGACACACTTCTGCAGTCAAGGCGTGACGCACAGGGGTCCTGGAGGGTCTGGAACCCCCTAATTAACCTCTTGGATCCCATGAATGTCTCAAAATCTAAACTCTGGGGGGCCCTGAAAACTTATTATGACGTTATGCTGACCATTACGGAAAAACAGACGCTCAAATCCAGATTCAGTGAAGCTCATTGTTTATCTGCTTCACCAACAATCAGCTTCTGTCGTTGGTGTTCTTCACTAACTAGAGCTGCAGCACTACTCTGCCTCAGGGTGGCGCTGTAGCAGACTGGTTCACCCAGTTTGTCCTTCATAGCCTAGAAACTGTTATGTTTGAAGACACCAGGTCTGCGTTCAGCCCCGACAAAACGTAGCACATTTTTAAAGAGAGATGATGGTGCGCTGAACTTCTGTTTGTGAGTTCAGACCATGCCTTCAACATGGTGGTGGTAGTATGAGGGAAGACTGATTGAGGAGAACTGTGAGAACTTGGGCTGGAGATCTGGGCAGCTTCTGCCTGTAGCTAGAAGGCCAGACCCCCCTCATAGCTGTAGTAGGGCGGATGTAGGACTGAGGAACAGGGAGGAGATGGGATGGTGGTGGGGATGAGAACCCTTCGTCACGGGAACGGAAGGTGAGGTTGTGAATTTATAGGGCGTTAGATTGGAAGAAGAGGGGTTTCAGGCATGTCAAACTTCAGCTATAACATAACTACATATCATGAGTTCAGATCATGCCTTCAACATGGTGGTGGTAGTATGAGGGAAGACTGATTGAGGAGAACTCTGGGCAGTTTCTGCCTGTAGCTAGAACACTGAAGCCCCCTTGTAGCTGTAGTAGGACTGATGCAGGACTTGTATGACATTGTTTTTTCTGTGATGTTATACTGTTGAGGACACAGGCTCTTATCCTCACTGTGTGTGTGTGTGTGTGTGTGTGTGTGTGTGTGTGTGTGTGTCAGATCTGGAGGTGTACGTGCTGAACACAGAGATGGGGATCAGAGATTTACACTTCCCTCACTCCTACGACAGCGACAGCACCATCCACCTCTCGCCCGCCACCATCAAACAGTACAGCCGCAACGGTCAGTCCCTCTCTCTCTCTCTGTCTCTCTCTTCCTCTGTCTCTCCCTCTCTCTCTCTCTCTGTCTCTCTATGTCTCTGTCTCTGTCTCTCCCTCTCCCTCTCTCTGTCTCTCTCTCTAAGTCTCTCTCTTTTCCTCTGACTTTCTATTCTCTCTCCATCTCCCTCTTTCTCTCCATCTCTCTTTCTCTCCCTCGCTCTCTCCATCTCTCTCTCCAACTTTCTATTCTCTCTCCATATCTCTTTCCCTCTCCATCTCTCTCCAACTTTCTATTCTCCCTCCATATCTCTTTCCCTCTCCATCTCTCTCTCCAACTTTCTATTCTCCCTCCATATCTCTTTCCCCCTCTCTCTCTCTCTCCATCTCTTTCTCTCTCTGACTATCTATTTTCTCTCCATCTCTCTTCTCTCTCTCTCGCTCTCTCCATCTCTCTCTCTGACTTTCTATTCTCTTTCCATCTCTCTCGCCCCGTTTTCTCTCTCTTTCTTTTCTCTCTCACTCGCTTTCTCTCTTTTGTTTTTTTGCTCTCTCTCTCTGTTTCTGTTCTTTCTCTCTATTCCCTTCAGTCTCTCTCCTTTGGTTCTCTCTGTGTTCTTTCTCTCTCTCTCTCCCTCTCTGTTCTCTTTCTGTTCTCCATTTCTCTCTCCCTCTTTTTCTCTGTTCTCTCTCTCTCTGTTTTGTCTTTTTCTCTATCTTTCTGTCTCTCTCCTCTCTTGGTTTTCTCCCTCTCTCTCTTTCTCTCTCTCTCTCTCTCTCTCTCTCTCTCTCTTTCCACAGTACAGGTAGGTAGGTTGGAAGGTTCCCGTTGTCACGGTAACAGTTCCCACAGTTACAGTTGCCATGGTCACCGTCGTGGAGGTTGCCGTGGCGACGGCGCTGAGCGCGTGTGCCTTTGTGTGGATCCTGGTCGGCGGCGTCGAGTATCAGGTCGAGCCGAGGCAGTTAGCGTTAGCATCGGCTAATGAATGACATAAATCTGCAGGTGCCAGTTTTTAAATAAAACGGGGGGCTCGAAACAGTCCAAATACACCTAACACGACGTCCACGCCCAGTGAGAACGCCGAGATGTCACAATATCACGATAATCACATTCACATCCATCATATAAGACAAAGCTAAAATTACAGAGTCGTGTTTCGAACTTCAGCAGTTCAGGTTAACATTCAGCTTCACACTTTCAGAGCTTCAGAGTTTCGTTCTGCTTTCATCCCAGAATTCCAGTGAAGCGTCGTATAAAAATATTCTGTGGCGCTGAGGATGAAGATGAGGTTACCGTTATGTGCAAAAGTTTGTGCACCCCTGGTCAAACTCCACGTTGTTGTTGAGTGTAAATAAGTGAACACATCTTCTACACAGACACACAACTGCACATTTTAATACACTATTACTGTTCATTTACTGAATTTAGCGTAAAAATAAGACGTAAAATATGACCTGCGCAAAAGTTATGGAACTTCTCATGCCTTATGTTTTATTTATTTTTTTCCCAAAATGTTAATCTCAGCAGACTCAATAGAAAAGGTGCACTAAAAGTTAAGCTTGTTCAACTTATTTTCTCGTAGAAAATGAACAAAGCATATTGATTGACTGGGGGCGCTCAAACTTTTGCATATGACTGTATAGCATTATGCTGCCTCTGTTTGTTTGTTTTTTTCAATTATTTTGCATAATTTATATAATAAAAATAAGAGTAAATCTTAAATTTTCAAAAAAACTTTTCACTGTGTGTTTAAACACAGCTGGGAGAAAATTGGGAGAAATAAATAAATAAAATAAAAATAATAAAGATAAAGCGCGCACTACGCTGCTCAGTGCTTAATTCCCATGGTAGTCGCCACATCGCTTCGCTCCTTATTTGCATAAAGTTAAACTCAGATTTGTTGTGTCGCTGACTCCGCCCACTCCGCATTGCCAGCATCCGTGCCGCCTCCTGTCCCTGGAAATCACCAGCTCTTATTGAAAATGAATGACCTCCGGCCGCTTTGTCGTGTCAGGTCGCTGCCGGTGTGAATGCAGGGTTACAGCCTCGTCTTCAGGACGTTAATATCTCCGTATATAATACTAATCCAGCTCCAATAGGGCTAAAGGCCCTTTAGGGATAACAGGTCTTCAACTATGGTGGGAGAAAACAGGTCGGACTGAGTTGTCATTTGTCTCTGCAGGTCAGGTTAAGGTGGTCTTCGCTCTCTATAAGAATCTTGGCTCCTTCCTGTCTACCCAAAATGCCACGGTGAAGACGGAGGCAGAGCTAAAGCCGGGGGGGCGGAACCTGGCGGTCAATTCACATGTAATCTCTGCTTCCATGAATAAGGAGTCCAGTCGTGTGTTTCTGACCGAACCGGTCATCTTTACTCTACGACACTTACAGGTACAAACACACAGTCTGTCTGTCTGTCTATCTGTTTGTCTGTATGTCTATCGGTTTGTCTGTCTGTCTGCCTGCCTGTCTGTCTATCTGTCTGTCTATCTGTTTGTCTATCTGTTTGTCTGTCTGTCTGTCTGCCTGTCTGTCTGTCTCTCTGTCTGTCGGTCTGCCTGTCTGTCTATCTGTTTGTCTCTCTGTCTATCTGTCTGTCTAACTGACACATATAAACACAGTCATTTACACTAAAATAACTCTGTATAGTCTTTTGACGGTCAGTGTGTGTGTTAATACATTTATACGTGTGTCTGTGTGTTTTTCCTGCAGTTGGAGAATCACTTCAGTCCAAACTGTTCGTTCTGGAACTACTCTGAGCGCTCAATGACCGGACAGTGGTCCTCTCAGGGCTGCAGGCTGATAGACACCAACAACACACACACCACCTGCTCCTGCTCACACCTCACCAACTTCGCCCTGCTGATGAACCACCAGCAGCCTGCAGTGAGCCTGCACACACACACACACACACACACACACACACAATAGAGTTCAAACAAACTTAACTTCACTGTAAACTCTGAATATTACTGTACTGTCTGTATAGTTACTAAAGAGAACTGTACGAATGACTTAACACACGTACTGTACTGTAAAGTTAACTTTTACACACTTTGTGTACTGTAAGGATGACTTTTACACACTTTTGTTTACTGTAAAGTTAACATTTACACACGTTTTGTACTGTAAGGCTGATTTTTACACGTTTTGTAAAATAAGAATGACTTTTACTCAGTTTTGTACTGTAAAGATGGGTTTTACACTTTTTGTAACGTAAGGATGAATTTTGCACACTTAAGGATGAGTTTTGCACACTTTTTGTACTGTGAAGTTAACTTTTACACACTTTTTGTACTGTGAAGTTAACTTTTACACACTTTTTGTACTGTAAAGTTAACTTTTACACACTTTTTGTACTGTAAAGTTAACTTTTACACACTTTTTGTATTATAAAGTTAACTTTTACACATTTTTACTGTAAGCATGACTTTTACACACGCTTTGTAAAATAAGAATGACTTTTACTCAGTTTTTGTGCTGTAAAGTTAACATTTACACACTTTATACTGTAGAGATCACTTTTACACACTTTTTGGACAGGGGTACAGGACTGTAACAAGTTTGTGAACACTGCTGTAAGGATAATTTTGCGAACTTGTTTTACTGTAAGAATAACGTTTCTTTTACTGATAGGACAACTTTAGCACAGAACTTGCCTATGACTGTATGGTATGTTTTTCCTTATAAAATGGTCAGTGAGTATGAGCATGTCATGGGATGTTTCTATTATATTGTACACCCCCGTCTCCTTTTTTCCTGCTAACGTATTTGTTTCTCTTTCTTTTTCTCCTCTCTCTCTCTCTCGCTCTCTCTCTCTCTCTCTCTCTCACCCTAAGTATCCGGGCGGAGTTCAGGGATTAATCCTCTTTGTAATCACCTGGGTGGGTATGGTCATTTCTCTGGTTTGTTTGGCGCTGTGTATTTCCACGTTCTGCTGTCTGAGGAGTCTCCAGAGTGACCGCACCACCATCCACAAGAACCTGTGCCTCAGTCTCTTCATCTCCCAGCTCCTCTTCCTCATCGGCATGGAGAGCAAAGACTACACTGTGAGTACAGTCACACACATGCAATCTCTCAGACTGAGTCACACCTTCGAACCATCCACTGAAAGCTACTGAATTAAAGTGGCTTCTGTGGCATCACTCTAAAGAACATTTTTGGCACATGCATGTGATTGCAACCCCGCAAAATGCAAATAAAAACTGAATGCAATGATGTACAAATCATTTAAAGTCAATATTTAATCAAAAATAGTACAAAGACATATCAAAAGCTGAAATTTATTGTTTTTTGAAAAAATTATATGACCATTTTGAATTTGATGCAACAGGAAAAGTTAGGACGGGGGCACCAAATGACTGGTAAAGTTGTGTAATGCTAAACATCTGGTGGAAGTTCTCACAACTAATTAGGTTAATTGGCAACAGGTCAGTAACATGATTGAGTATAAAAAGAGTACCTCAGAGTGGCTGAGGTTCACCACTCTGTGAGAGACCGTATGGACAAATAGTGCAACAATTCGGCACTGCGTCCACAAATACAAGTCCAGAAGTTAAAACTCTAAAACCATATATAAAAAGGATGCAGAAACGCTGCCACCTTCTCTGGGCCCGAGCTCATTTAAAATGGACTGAGGTGACGTGGAAAAGTATCTTGTTGTCCAACAAATCAAAATTTTAAAATCTTCTCAGAAATCATGGACACTGCATCCTCCAGGCTAGAGAACACCCAGTTTGTTATCAGCACACAGTTCAAAAACCAGGATCCGTGATGGAAGGGGGGGACTTTAGTGCACATGGCATGGCAGACTGGCACATCTGTGAAGGCACCATTAATGCTGAATGATATATTCAAGTTTTGGAGCAACATATGCTGCCATCCAGACGACGTCTTTTTCAGGGAAGGCCTTGATTGTTTCAGCAACACAATGTAAAACCACCTTCTGCATGTATTACAACAGCATGGCTCTGTATTAAAAGAGTCTGGGTGCTAAACTGGCCTGCCTGCAGTCCAGACCTGTCACCACTGATAACATTTGGTGCATTATGAAACGAAAAATATGACAAATGAGCCCCCAAACCGATGAGCAGCTGAAATCCTGTATCAAACAAGAACGGGAAAACATTTCACTTTCAGATCTACAGCAGTGTCTCCTCAGTTCCCAAACACTTACAGAGTGCTGTTAAAGAAGAGGTGATGAAACACAGTGGTAAACAGGCCCCTGTCCCAACTTTTTTGGAACATGTTGTTGGCATCAAATTGAAAATGGGCATATATTTTTCAAAAAACAATAAAATGTCTCAATTTGCCACATTTGATATGTTGTCTTTGCACTATTTTCAATTAAATATAGGGTTTAAATGATTTGCACATCATTACATGCTATTTTTATGTACATTTTCCACAGTGTCCCAACTTGTCTGGAAACAGAGCTGTAATATGATTACAGAGGAATATGACTCATTAAAGAAAACTGGTCAAAGTGCTGTTATTGCTAATGATTTTAACAGTAGGAATGTTCTATAAAGGTATCAGTGAGTTTATACAGTTTGAAGGGTTTGCCTATCAGGTTTAAAGTGTGTACGGTGTGTGTATGTGTGTGTAGGTGGTGTGTCCGGTTCTGGCCGGTTTCCTCCATTTCTTCCTGCTGTCCGCGTTCTGCTGGCTGTGTGTAGAAGCTGTGCAGCTGTACGTTCTGCTGGTGGAAGTGTTTGAGAGCGAGACGTCCCGCAGGAAGTATTATTACCTCTCTGCTTATGGCTTCCCCCTGCTGGTGGTGGCCATCTCCGCCGCCATCGACTACAGGAGCTACGGCGGCAGCCCCAGAGCGTGAGTCCATCCGTGTGCCTGTGTGAACATTAACTGTTAGAAAGTCTAGAGCTGCTACAGTCATTTCGCTGCACTGTTTAGCAGAATATTAGTCAGAATGTTACATAATTGATTACATAATGACTAGTGCTGTCAAAGTTACGCAGCAAGTTACTGATGACACTAATTTTATTCAAAAGCCATTATAAATATGCTTATAACTCCTTTTCATATGGCAACAATGCCTTGTATGGTAATATGTATAAACTGTAATAATGCTTCATAAGTCTTTAATACCTAACACTAGTGTCACTGTTCGTTATAATGCCTTTTAAATGGATAATGACCTGTGCACATATCTTAAATATTAACACTCATAGAAACTGTGGTAACACGTTCTATGAATGTCGCGTTTGTAAGCATCTATAAACACATTTATAACATGTTATAATGTATTCATAAGGCATTATAAATATGGTTATAAATATTTATAAAAAAGAATTACACTGAATTACACTTTATAGCCACGTTTATTAAACATTATGAATTGTTAATATAATGCATTATAAATAGTGTTAATAACATGTTATAATGTCAGTGCCAAAGAAGTCAGTCCCAGCTTGGAGAGCGTAAAGTAAAGACAAATACCAAGCTAACGGTGGTGTACATTACCTTTCCCACATTGGGTAAAACACTGATGCAGCTCTAGTTTAAACTCTGACATTTGAAGCCTGTAATGTGCTTTACTGTGAATGTTTTAGTGTTTCAGTAAATCCTTCAGTAAATACTTCAACTTGAAGCCTCACTCTGAACACTGGAGGAGGCTTTAGTACAGTACGCTTCACTTTACTTAGAGCGGACAAATACGACTTATGAGCTCTTATAATTTGTTATGATCAGTACTTATAATGCATTATGTTAATTCATAATGCATAATAAGCATGGCTATAACGTGTAATGCATTTTTATAAATATTTATAGCTATGTTTATAATGTCTTATGAATGCATTATAACATGTTATGAATGTGTTTATAGATGCTTACAAAGGTGACATTCATAGAAACTTTTATATAGGGGTTATAAGCACAGCTATAGCTATTTATGAATATAGGCTTTTAGAAAGTGTTACCTTATTTTGTATCGTATAATGGCTGTGAGTTAACATGCATGTTTTGTTGTGTAGTTGCTGGCTCAGTGTGGATAACTACTTCATATGGATGTTTATTGGTCCTGTCTCCCTCGTTATCTTGGTAAGCTACAAATAATCAATATTATACAACTTCTATTCTTTCATTTAAAAAGTGCTTTTTTACTCATTCATTTATTTATTTATTTAAATGAAATGTGTAAACTTGTGTTTAAACTTTGTCTCCTGACCCCTAGCTGAACCTAGCTGTTCTGGTCATCACCGTGCACAGGATGATCCGCCACTCCACCGTGCTTAAGCCCGACTCGAGTCGCTTCGACAACATCAAGTACGGGGGTCTAGGGTCATAGCTAATGGGTGGGGTGGGGTTTGGAAGGATATAATGACAGTTTATGTTACTTTTAATGGGTCATAAATTGGTTCAATAAAAATGTGTGTTATAATTTCTTATTTTCCTGTCTTTTCAGAGCTTTTTCATGTCTTTTTTTCCTTTCTCCTCTCTGTCTCTCTCTGTAGGTGTTGGACAGTTAGTTCAGTCACTCTGCTGTTGTTGGTCACTTTAACGTGGATTTTCGGCCTGCTCTTCATTAATGAGTACAGTGTGGTGATGGCCTATCTCTTCACTTCCTTCAACGCCCTGCACGGCCTTTTCATCTTCATCTTCCACTGCGCCCTGCAGAAGAAGGTACGCTGACACTTTCCACTCAGACCTGGTTCAGCAACCTTCTCATATCTGATAATATCTCGAGACTTCAACTGCTACATTGCTTAGCCCCTATTGTTACCTTATATACAGTACTGTGCAGCAGTCAGAGAACATTTATTTATTTAATTCACAGTCAAAACAGCCATAACGTACAAGTTATTCATTTATCAGGAGATATTTGTGAAGAGATTAGATATAAGATAATCCACTTGAGTGAGGAAGGAGAACCTCAAAGTGAAAAAAGTGAGTTTCCAAAACTTTCCAAACTGAGAAAATGAGGCTCCTAACAACCACCTGGAAGAGGTGGTCGACCCCAAAACTGCCCTTAAAGCTTTCATCTCTGAGAGAGAGGAGAAAATCAAGCTGCTTCAGATCTGAAAACATCCACAGGTGTTTCTGTCCATCCTTCCACTGTGAGAAGACGACTCAGCGCTGTGGGTCTGAAAGGATGTGTAGCTGATCAAGAAGAACCTCACTGAGAAAAGGAGACGGACACACCAAACAAAGAAGCTGAACGATGGACTGACCACCCCAGAGTCCAGACCTCAACACCACTGAATGTGTTTGATTACTTCAGAAAACGATCAACCAGCTTCTAAGACTGAACTTTGGAGGTGTGTCTGCAGATTCTTTGAGGAACTGAAAGTGAGTCTCCTGAAGAGAATGGAAGCTGGAATGAAGGGAAAGAGTGACTCACTGAACACTCAAACAGCTGATATGTAATATATTTAGTTTTTTGGCTGTTTTGACTGGATATTAAATAAATGAAGGGTCTCTGACTTTTGCACAGGATTATATTTTACAGCTGTGTAATAAACTGTAACATTATGTCATTATAATATGTAAACAGTTATTCGATTAACCAACCTGCCTTAGTGGGGTTAACTTTGATTGAATGAACTGTACTTGTTAGAGATGGCACGATATCACTTTTTCTTTACTGATATCAATATCAATATTTAAACACTGAGTATCAGCCGATATCGATCTCATATTTCTTCTTTAAAAAGGTTTACAGTCAGAGTATTTAGGTGAAGTTCTTCACTTAAATTGATCATCTAAAATTAGGCTATCATGCTCAAGTTTTCACTCATTTTTCCCTCTACCTATAGCCCCAATGCCGATATGCAATTTCTAATGTATATTATTATGAATACATATTTTCCAATAATCTGTAAATCCTGTAACTACGACAGAAGTCGTCAATAGTACAATACTCTTTGATTATTGGTTACTGATCACTGTTAACGATGCGTGTTCAGGTTCAGAAGGAATACGGTAAATGCTTCCGTCAGTCATCCTGCTGCGGCCACGCCTCCTCTTCTGGTTCCCACGGTTCCCTCAAGAGCTCCGCCCACCGTGGCAACAATCGCTACTACAGCGGGGGCCAATCCAGACACGCTCCCGCACACAGACAGGTAACACACACACACACATAACACACTACACACAAACATGTACAGTATACACACTCGTGTGCAAAAGTTTGGGCGCCCCTGGTCAAACACATCCTCTACAGTGAACACACATTTTACTGCACAGTTACTGTTTATGTGCTGAACTTAACACATGAAGTAAAACATATATTGTGGCCCATGCAAAAGTTATGGCACCTTTTATATAAACAATAAACAATATGTTTGTAAAATGTTGTAGCAAATATAAATTGTGCACTAAAGTTCACAGAAAAATGCCACATTTGAGCTGAAATATTTAAGGTTGACTAATGGAGAAGACAATTTGAGATAAGTAATGAGTGGGGTTTAACAGTGTAGGGCTCACAGTTTGGCAAGCACCAACCTTTTTTATTTACATGTATGCGTAACTGCTTATAATGCTTTTATAAGGTGTTATTGACCTAATTAGTATCCTTTAATAAACAATCCTGCTGAAAAAATCATAGAAACCATTAAAGGTTTCTGGTAGTTCCTGGTGGTGTCCTATTGTCAGTAATGGTTTTCTCTGTTTTCCTGATGGGCTGATATCACAGTGTAAGGCATTCTAATGGTTTACCAAGTGTTCTGACTCCAGATACATTTGATGGTTTCTGATCTTCTTCTGATCTTCTTCTTCATATGTCTCGCGGGTGTGTGTCTGTGTGTCAGTGTGAACAGATAAACACACTGAATCTGATATTTTTTAATTCCGATCTGAGACGCTTTCCGATAGGTATCCGATATGGGCCAATGTGACTCTGAATAGCCAGATCGGAATTCCTCTGACTTTTACATCAATCCAACTCGACATTCGTCATAATTTTGCGCTGCTGAGACTCCTAAACATTTAGGCCAATATTTCTGTGCAAAAATCAGAAGACTCATCCAAACCCCTCTGTGTTCGTAGAGGTTTCGAAAGAAATGTCCGAACGTGGCCGCAGGAGAACGAGGCTGCAGCGTCAAAGAACAGTTAAAAGACTAAAAACAAAGTTTAAAGAATCCGAGGACGCGAACCAAAGAAGTGACCACACCCTGTTTACGGTGAACTCGAACACATTCTGGGTGATGAGCCCAGCTGTCAGTCAGTGAAGCTTCATGGTGGCTCCTGTGATGCTGGTGAAGATGAAGCTGATCCTCAGGGAGCAACTGGCCCTCATTCATAGCCATGATTGGTTACCTCTGGATGAGCCATGTGAAGCAGCGTGAAGCTTCTTATTACCAGTGTGCTAACGTGATAAATGATTGATGTGGTAACTGAAATCATAGAAATCATAGTACAATTCAAATGTGTGTCTGTGTTTGTGTGCAGAGTCGAATCAGAAGGATGTGGAACGACACGGTTCGCAGACAGACTGAGTCTTCCTTTATGGCTGACCTCAATAACACACCCACCCTCAATAGAGGTAACAGCCCTATTTAACTCTATCTATCTATCTGTCTATCTATCTATCTATCTATCTATGTATCTATCTATCTCTATGTGCATCTTTGTTTCTGTCTGTCTTCCTGTCTGTCTGTCTGCCTCTCCATTAGAGGTATCTGTATTGGTGGGTTTGGGTTGGCGATGTGCATTTTGAGTAGTTTTGATGTCTGACTGATGGGTTAATTGACGAATAATAGGTTAAACACATGGAGCGGAAACTTTGCACAGGAACAATATAGGTTTGTAGGCTTACTTTTTTAGGCGACAGCACTGGTGTTGCACAAAAATGCTGCAGCACACAGAGGATCGTGTTTTAAAATTGGCCACAGGACATCGTTAGGCATTCATGTAGGATGAGTAACAGAGGCTGCCTCTTCAGATGAGCTCATGGGCTCTAACCACTGGATGCTCATGAGGACTCGTCATCCTACAAGTGGACGATATGCCAAAATCGTTAGTTTGTCAGAGAAATAGAATTCCATTGTTTCTGGCCCTAGCTAGCATTACCTAGTTAGCCCAGTTAGCAACAAAGCTACACCAGAGCCAGTCATGCTAGCGGTATATTCTATTACACTTTGCTACAAAGCATCCTTGGCAGCATCGTAGCAATGTGTAATAGAATATGTTTACTCACAAGTATGAGTGAAGCAGCATGTTAAAACATAAAATCAGCAGTTTGTCTGTACAATTTCTATGTCTTTCCTGATAAAAATAAACAAGTAACCAAATAGTGAGTTCAGGATTCAAATACTGGCACCTCTAATGGTTAAATGGTCGAGTACTTGAGTGTCCATGCACATCCGTACTGTGAGTATCAGGCTGATATCAGCAGGATGCCAGATAGTAGTGAATAAAATAATGAATGTGATTCAATTCTGTAACAACTCTATACCGAAACAGTCCTCACTCACACTGTGTGATGTGACGTTGCTAGCTGTGTAGTTCTTCTTAAGGGGAGTATAGTAGGGTTACAGTCATTCAAGTGGTTTTGGTGTGAAACGCTGTTCTAGAGAAACTTACTGAGTCAGAACTGTTCACAGTGGTGGTGACAGGAACCAGACGTCCACCTCTAAAAGCTGGACATTTGTTACATGAAATGGGTATAAATTATGAGACACTGTTTTACGATAGTTTTAAGGTTTTGGCCTAAAACATATTAATGGAAATCCATTCATGGTGTCAAGGTTCTTGCATGCTGTTGTAAGGCAAAATAGTCCTTAAATGAACAAGAAGTATTTTAAAAATCACCTTTAAGTGAAGTGCTTCAATTAAAAAGAGCCCATTTTAAAGCAAAACAAATCAGTATCAGCTGATTCTCAGGGTTTTAATATCAGAAGAAGTGTCATTGTATCATCTCTCTCCTTCCATCTCTCGTTATCCATTGATCAGTGTGTAGGTTCAGTAGGTCATTCAGCTAATCCAGTCATTATGTCTTCTCCAGTTCCTCTCACTTTATCCCAGCATCGCCATCATTCAAAGTTCTGTCTGTGCTACCAGCGATCTCTTCTTTTATGGTGCAATTAACACAGGAAGGCATGTTGGCCTCTTCACCTCCTGTAATGTGTTACAGTCTGTCAGAATGAGGCCGTGTGGATCATAAGCTCTGTAGGTTCTCTGCTTAGAGAGGGAAGCTCTAAGGGGGTCACTGTCCATGGTGCTGAAGCCCTTCCACTTCAGCAGGGTGATGTTGTTGCTATCAAAACATGTGAAGAGTAGAGGAGGATGGCTTCCCTTTTTGAGTCTTGGTTCTCCTTTTAAAGGCACAGTGTGTAAGATTTAGGGGACTCTGTTAGCAGAAATGGAGTATAGTAAACTGAAGGAATGTACTGCTGTGTCGTGCTACAGTGCTGTGCAGTATATCGACTGCTGTCGGAAGAAAACCTCGTACCTCAATTTTTGTCATTTTTCAGTTTTTGGCATTATTTGAAAATACCTGTTGTTCTTTACATTGTTTGTAAATTCTATGATGAATGGACCAAAAGAAACGGCCCAAAATGACCTGGAAAGACGTCTGGTTCCATTGACTTACATTAAAGGTAAAGTATGTTTTTTCCTTCTCCTGTAAAGTTACCATTTTGGAGATACGAGGTTTTCTTCAGACAACAGCGATATGCTATGATATTCAGTATTGTGTGTGTTGTACCATGCATGTGATGTGATTGTACTTAGAACATTTTGTTCTGCCTATTTTTGTCTATCTCTACATGGTCATGTCTGTCACACCTGGCACTTGTCATGTCTTGGCATCAGTCCAGCCTATGTAATTGTGACCGTCCATTGTTTAATGGGCTGGCTAAATGTCTTGATACCTGTGCAGAAGAAATAAACTTCATTTCCCAGACTTAAGGCTGCTCCCAGGTTTGGTGGGTTTGGATTCTTCAATACAGAACCTTGTTTTAATTAATGTACAATCGCCTGTAACTACAAATTGTCGTTAGCTTAGAGGGAGCCCTTCATATCTGCATACAGATATGCTGCCATGTTGTACCATTGTTTTAACAGTAGCCCAGAATGGACAAACCAAACACTGCCTCTAGAGGCACCTTTCACATTTTTATGCCGAAGCAGCAGCTTGAATTTGGTGGCGCTGTAGCTCCGACTGGAAGATAGAGTAGAAAGAAGAAGAATCTGTGGACGCTGCTGGTGCTGCTGACCATTTTGTGTTGTGAGAAGTTTGAGAACCCAGATTTTGACAAATGGAGGATCAGACTTATTATGTAGCACCAGAAAAAGCGAGAGAGGGTGAATCCTCACCATCAAAGAAGAGAAAACATGAAGAAGCAATCGGGAAATCGGGACAGATGACAACAGAAAACCTGACAGCCACCGTAGGTTCTACTACACGCTTGGTAAGGGAGAGGTGAGGGAGGGGGATTCAGTTGGTCACAACCTGCCACCTCACCACTAGATCCCACTAAATCTTACACACTGCACCTTCAAATCTTGGTTCTTCTCAGTAGTTCTTTTTCATGCTCATAGGACATCTTGTTCCTTCGAGTGGTTCTCATTTCTCTTTCTGAGTCTTGGTTCTTCAGAGTGGATCTTCAGGCTCTTAGAGAGTTTCTCCTTTTGAGTCTTGGTTCCTCTAAGTGGTTCTTCCTCATGTTGTTAGGGAGGTTCTCCTTTTGAGTCTTGGTTCCTCTTAGCGGTTCTTCCTCATGTTGTTAGGGAGGTTCTCCTTGTGAGTCTTGGTTCCTCTTAGCGGTTCTTCCTCATGTTGTTAGGGAGGTTCTCCTTTTGAGTCTTGGTTCCTTTCAGTGGTTCTTCCTCATGTTCTTAGAGAGTTGCTCCTGACTCTGTTGCCTTCAGTGATGATTATGAGGGTATTGGACCCAGATTTCTATAAATCTGTTTTGTATCAATGTCTGTTGTAAACAGTCCTGCATAAATATATTTGAATTCATCTGAATCACTGCTGAATGCTAGGAGTCCACAGTGCGGTTCTTTGGGACGTTCTCCCACAACCACATCCTGTCCATCTCTGATTGAGTGGCTGTCTTTGTCTATTCATCTGTCACGTTTCCATCTATCCAGCAATCTGTCTGTATGTCTGCCTGCCCATCTGTCTGTCTACACTGTCTTCTGTCTGTCTACATCATTGTCAGTGTCCATCTGTCCGTCCGCCTGTCGGTTTCACTCTCGTCTCTCCTTTGATCTGCTTCTGTTCTCTATAATGCATCTCTCACTCTGTTAGGCACTCTTACTTTCTTCACTCTCTGCTCTCTTTTTTCCCATCTGTCTCCACTCTTATGTAATGTGTCCAAATTCAAAAGCTCCACTTTGTCCTTATCTGACAAAACAGCTTTCATCATTAACCCCTTCACATCCCAGGTGTACTATATTCTAAGGCTTATCTTGAAGTGATTACATAGCAAAATTACCTAGAATTACATAGTAAACAATGTAAACTAGTTTTTCTTACATTATAGGAATGAAGAATGGAAGCCTCCATTCCTGACAGTGGCTTTTGGCCATTACAAGTTGTTAAATAACCGCTTATTCCAGGCTTATTACATACAACGGCTTATTATACAGTAATTACAGGTACTTCAATGCAAACTGTCTTAGCTACTATTAGATTATAGAAGTGTGTAATAAAACTTTCACAGCAACAAATGACGTCAAGTGAAATGATCTCACATCTAGTCAATATATCTAATATTTCTCATTTTGACATGGTTGTGCACTTATTGTAAGTCTATCTAGCTTATTTCCAGACGTTTCACCCATTTTACATAATTTTTACGTAAAGTATCTCACTATACTGGCAGATCATTTTGCTGGTTTCAAGCTCATTTCTTACAACAAGCAACTTTATCTTCCAATACACTGACATAGGTTTGCTTAAAATTATTTAAAACAAGTAAAAATGTCTAGAAGTAAAGGTAAATAATCTTATAATAAGCTAACAATAAACTGAACAGGAGAAACATTAGATTTATTGACTATATTTATATATTTTACTTGACAAGATACCATTTTTTTGCAGGGTTGGGGCTGTCATTGGGCCTTAGCCATTTTAGGGGCTGATATTGTCCTTAATTGTCTGCAGTGTGTTAGTTTAACATTATTAAAGTTTAACATTATTTTTAACATCAATATTGTTATTACTGATGCACTGAAATGAAATGTATTGGCCAAAACAGATACTGATATTCAAGACACATTGGGCTGAAAATGGAAACTGCTGCCTGCATGAAATAAGCTTATTAAAGTGATTACAGTATGGAGGCTACAGTAGATGCCATGAAGTCCAGTGCCTTTGACATTTAAAGCAGTGCATGCTATTATTTTAGCTGTCGTTTGTGAATTTGTGGGCGCACTCGCAGGGACTTTCCTTCCTGCTTCTGTCATTTTGCTGTGTCCCGCGTATCGAGCCATGTTTCAGCTGCTGTCAGACCTGCAGTGGAGAAGTTTTTGGGTGTTTTATCTCCTCTTGATGTTCCGCATTAACAGAGATGATGAATCTCGTGTCTAATGTTCCTCGTAGAAACCGTATAATGATTCCACTCAGACGATATTTCCACTGTTGATCAGTTTCACTGCCTCTGTGTGGCAGCAGGAGATCAAAAACAACAAACAGCATGTTTAACCCTTGTGTGGTGTTGATGTGTTTGTTACTCAGTGGTCTGGTGGACTGATTATTGTTTATTTAAATCAGCCATAACAATGTAGGTGAAAAAACCAGATGTTTAAAATATCACAAGTGTCCAGCGTAGGGTTCTCCTTTAGCAGCTGTGGCCAGTCAGCAGCCTGTCCATGTTGTCCACCCTCACACACACACACACACACACACACACACACACACACACACACACTAACAGCAGGCCATGTAGGAGAAGAACAGAGTGAAGGACACAGCACCTCCACACTTTTACTCCCCGTTCACCCAACACCACATGTGTAATATAAATGTGTGGGGGGTGAACAGAGTGAAGACACTGAAAATGGGTTATTTTATATGTTCTTCACAGAAAAAAAATGAGCAAAGGACAAGAATCTGAGATTGAAATAATAATAAATTACATCATTTTTTCTTTTGGTAATCATTGAAAATCCCACAGACCTGAACACCACACAAGGGTTAAGCACTGTTTCTCATTTTCATTTCCATTGAAATGATTTGTAACTGAAATGATGAAATGATTTTGACACTGAAATTTTCAGCCTTTTTACTATTTCGTAAACCAAAGGTGCCATTTTTCATCATTTTCAGCCGAAATTTTAGTGCATCCCTGGTTTGGTGGCGGTCTACCATGAGGATGTCGCACGTATATTTGGATGTAATATTTTTATGCAGTGATTTGTATCTGAATATAGGAAAAGAGTTTCAGTATAAACCAAATTTCTGCAAAATTTCCAAAAATAATCTTTTGGCAGTGTGGCCGGCTTTCATTCAACAGTATGAACTATTAGTTCAGTCTACTATAGTAAACTAAGCCAACTTTTTTTCTAGCTAACACTGAGAATTTAGCATCAACTATGTATTTTTCTTCAATCTATTAACAGAACATTTAATTTTTTATAAAAATGTAATTTAATATGTATAAAAATGTATTTGTTTTTTTTGTAAGTTCCTCAGGCGTGATGTCGCAAGCCCCCAACCTCCCCTACATGCATGAACTTGCGGTCCACTGTATTAGGTTCAGCTTGACTCAGTAAGACTTTAAAAGGTGATTGGCTGATATTTTGTTGGGTTTTAATTTCATTTGAATCTCAGGAACTATGGGTAATCACCTGCTGGCCAATCCTGTGCTGCAGACTCGCTCTGGCTCCTCTCCCTATAATACACTTTTGGCAGAAACCTTCAACCCGTCTTCAACAGCAGTCTTCAACTCCACTGGTCAGTGTGTGTGTGTGTGTGTGTCTGTGTGTGTGTGTGTGTGTGTGTGTACATGTATGTGTATGTGTGAGTGTGTGTGCATGTGTGTGTATAAACAGTACTGTGCAGAAGTCTAAGACCCCCATTTGTTTAATAAATTCCCAGTCAAAACAGCCATAAAGTTATTAATTTTTCATTGTCAGAAAAAAGCAGAAAACACATATTTAATAAAAGCAACCTCAATAACTAAATCTACTCTCAGCTGTGTTCAGTCAGTGAGTCACTCTTTCCCTTTATTCCAGCTTCCATTCTTTTCAGGAGACTCACTTTCAGCTCCTCAAAGAACTGACACACCTCCAAAGTTCAGTCTTAGAAGCTGGTTTAGTCCAGCGGTCGGCAAGCCAAATGTTAAGAAGAGCCATTTTGTCCTTTCAACAAAAATCTAACCACTTTGGGAGCCACAACATTTTATCCATCTTGGCTGTAAATATGTCTCAGTATGTGTTAATGTGCTAGTAAAGGCTAAAATATAATATAACCAAAACACAGACTTTCTTTGCTCTGCTTTAAGCTTTAGCTCAGCTGTAGCTGCTTTTCTCGCATCTCCAGCAGGAAACTTTTCCTCAAAAGTAGAACAGTTTCTTATAAAATGTCTCTCAGCGTTTTACTTTTTATGAGGCTGAAGTTGCTTCTCACTTACCAGCTTTTTGTTCTAATTTTACCATTCAACCTTGGATGGTGCCGCAGTTACATTCTAGTGCCTCAGGTACCATTTAAGGTGGAACGGGAAAATCTGAACGAGAAACTGACTTCATCTTCATGAGTTTTTAGTGTTTGACAGTTTCTCGTTGCAGATTGAGTGTATCGGGAAACCAGCTGGAGTGATTATAAACGCATTATAAACGCATCCAAATAAAGTGTTCCCAAACGCATAATTTGGGAACACTTTATTTGGATGGTCCACTGAAAGGTTCTGTTAAATCTAACCCTAACCCTAAGCTCAAGACAAAACCTACACCTACTCCTAAACCTAGTCTTAACCTTAATGTTGTTGATAATCAACTATCACCAGAAAGTTTGTTAATAGGTATCAGTAGATCATCTATAGGAGACCATCCAAATACAGTTTGACCATAAAATTACTTAAAACAAGTAAACAAGGTCTAGAAATAAGTGAAATAATCTCAAATTAAGCTTATAACAATCTCAACAGGAGAAATATTAGATTTCTTGACTATGTTTAAGATAATTTTACTTGACAAGATACATTTTTTGGAGTGTGTTCATCTTAAATCTCTCTCTTTGCCATTTCGTTAGCTACTAGCTAGACGAGATTGTTGTCCGTGTTGTTATGGTGACCAGCAGTCTGCGCTGATCTTCAGGGTTAAAGGGTGAATTAGCAGTTCTACATTAACTCCAGAGTTTAAGACCATTTATTGTTAAACTGTGTTGAACGATCAGCAGAGCTTTATTTTACTGTAAAGGAGGATTATTTTATTTTTACCTACAAATCTAATTCTGCTGTGGAGCCACAACAGGACAGTAGCAGGGCTGCATGTTGTAATCCTAACCACATTCAGTGATGCTGAGGTCTGTGCACAGTACTGTATGTGTGTCTATGCGTGAGTAGATGTGTTATTTTACAGTTGTGCTCTCAGTTCTATCTACACAGCTGGGTGTTTGTTTGTTGTTTGTGTTTTTGGTGTTTCTGTTCTTGCTTTTTTGCTCTATTTCTCACTGTATCTGTCTCTTTTTGCACTCTTTCTATCTTTTCCCTCTCTTTTCCGTCTCTATCTGTGTATATCTCTGTCTCTATTTCTCTTTCTGACCTGCAGGTACCTTCAGAAACTCAAGTACGGAATCTCTGTTATGGCATTTCTTTTATTTTTCCATCTCTATATTCGTTGTATATGTTCATGTCGCCGCTTCGGTGAATAATGACCTAATAACACAACAGCCTCCTCACTCATCTTTCCTTTGTCTGCTGTTGTCGTGCAATATGCATGAAAGGAGTTGCATTAATATTTCATCTCCTTTGTGTTGAACTTTGTGTTGTGTTTATTTGTGTCTATTCAGCTGATCTCATGAACTAACAGCTCCATTGGATTTGGACGTTGATGTTTTTATTGTGCATTTTGAAATGATGCCAATCGATATTTGCATTGGTGCTTTGATGTAATGCCATTGTGATACTTTATTTATTGTCAGGCCAAAAATATGGAAAGAAGCAGTTATTTCTTTATAGCGAAAAAGGTACAGAATTTTCCAACCTTTTTAGTTCAACGTGAGAGCTACAAGACTTGCACTACTAACACTAGAAGCCAATAGTCACCGAAATCTTTTCTGTAAATACATCCACAAAACTGTCCTCAACCCGCTCAAACCACTTCCAAATCTTTATTAAGGCGGCGCAGACTCGTGGACGTGGGTTAGGACACAGTATCTCTTGCTGTGAGCTGTAAAAATGAACAAAACATCACCGGGTAGCTGAACGCTGCTAAATCTGACTGCCCTCTTTCCGCTAAGAAAAACATCAGACTAGATAACACTGGTGATTTCTGTTGTTGGCATTCATAAACATGCATGTTCAATTAAAAAAAATCAAGATTAAACAGTTATATATAAATGAAATAATAAAAAATTGGGAACTTAATCTGTACAGTCTATATGCCGGCATGATGTGCATGAACTCGAAGGGGAGTCAGATTTTGGCACCTGTTGTCTAAAATAAGTGCAGTTTTGTTCATTTTTATACCTCACAGGTCTCTGCAACCTTAATAAAGACCTAAAAGCAGGTTGAGAGAAGTTTCGGGGATGTATGTACAGAAAGAATTGGGTGACTATTGACGTCTAGTGTTTGTTAGCATTAGCTTCATAGCTTCACTTCTAAATTAAAGCAGCAGAATTTGGACACTAAACATGTCTCGGCTGATCAAGTATATCTGGTATAATTGTATAATAGGATGTTTTACCAAACATGTTTTTTTGAAAAATTCAAAAATCTGAACAATTAAGGCAATTTTCCAACAGCCAAAACACAACATATTCAGTAACATTAATTTACCCAAAGTAATTTGTTCCAGAATACATTTTCCAGAAAACATACTTTAATTTGCTTCACGTTCGATCCCGGTGGTCGAGCTGGAGAGCGGGGCTGGTGATGGAGGTGGAGCAACAAGCTATCTTTCAGGAGCAGAGAGCAGAAAGAGAGCTAAAAGAGCGGAGAGGGAACAGAGAGAGAGGGACGAGCAGCAGCAGTGGCGACAGAGTGAAGAGCTGGAAAGCTCGAGTAAGAAAAGGACTGAAAAGTCTCCTTTAAAGCCACTAAAAAATGGCCTGCTTAGCTTTGTTTCAGTTTCAGTTTCATTTGTTTGAGTTTGGTGTGAAAATTAAAGTTAAATGGCTTCTTCTTCTGACATGCAGACTCCCTTGGTGTCTGCGCCCTGGTCCCGGATTTCGGCACCAGTGTAGCACGCCCTGTGCTACCCCAGGCTCCGGAAGGACACTGGAGGCAGGATTGACAGTCGCAGCAGCCAGTTAACATTTAGCCAAACACAAACAAATGAAACGGAAACAGAACCAAAGCTAAGCTGGTCACTTTTCAGTGGCTTTTCAGTTCTATTCTCGCTCTTCACTCTGTCACCACTGCTGCTGTTTGTCCCTCTCCCCTCTGTTTCCTCTCTGCTCTTTTTAAAGGTGCTCCTGAGCCGAGTTGCTCCGCCTCCATCACCACCCCTGCTCTTCAACTTGACCACGTGTTCGAGCGTGAGGCAATTTAAAGTGGTCTTGCTGCAGGGCCGGAGGTGGTACCCAGGAAGCGGGGCTCGGGACTCACATGCCATCCCCCATCCACTCATGTTTTCCTCTCCCCGTTGTCTTTGCGGGGGTTCGTCTGGGCTCGGAGTTCGGGCCCCACCTTCCTGTCGGCTCTTGCGGCCTTCATCAGGCCCAGAAGACGGGCGCATGCCACAATATTATTTGTGATGCACTACTGTTTTGCTGTTGATGTACAGCGACTTCCAGCACACATTTTTCAGAGCGCCACAGCTTATCTGTCAGCTTTGCACAAATAGTATATTAAATTAAAACCATGACAGACCCCAAAAACATAGTAGATTAACTGTGCCTTGAAATTTACACTGAGAAAGGGAATCAGTCTAAAGTCTGTAAGATAAACAGACAAATGCTAATCATTACAGCATTACTAGTTTAGCCACATTGTAACACATTTCAGCTGAATAACAGTGAGTTTGTAAGTAGTTAGGTAGATGATACCAAACCTAATAAACTCACTAAATCATGTTGAAAGTTTGATTCCATTAAATCCAAAGTAGTAGAGTGTAAAATGAGCTTGAGCTTGATGATACGAACTCTCACTGTGACACATTCTATGTGCAATAGCTGTGCTTTGTAACATCTGCAGTGCATGCAGTGGCCTTTACTGTAGCATATTCAATGGGAAAATCTTTGACACTCTGTGTTGGTAACAGTTCTTCACACTCTCTAACATAACACTGAGCTTTGGATAGGGAGGAACCATGTGGATCAACTCACTACCACTTACCACACACAGTATTACCACACACATTCAGAAACAAACCCTACTCTTCCAGCTTCATATACACAAAACTTCAGTTATTTCATCAAAAAAATGACAGGTTTGTTTTTATTCTTACAAAATCGGTGTTTCTTCCAAACTTTTGGCCTGTAGTAAATGCTGCGATGTTGATTAGTTAGCCTTGACTAACCTGCTGCATTTCTCTCTCTGTCCTGTAGAGGGCACTCTGTCCCGTAGCCGTGAGTCGTGCGGATTGGAGGGAGTTCGTCTAAACGGAAACTACAACAACAGCTACTCTGTCCACGGCGGGAGCTCCGACCTGCTGGGAGGCGTTCCTGTGGGTGCCGGGGGTGTTTCCGGAGATGTTAGCCCCGCCCTCTTGACCCCCAGAGGGGCAGAGCCGCCAGGCAGCGGATTGAGGAGGAACCTTTCGGATGCAGCAGCGCTGGAGAAGATGATCATCTCCGAGCTGGTCCAGAGCAACCTGCGCCCGGCCACTGACCGCTACGGAACGACCGCCGAATCAGCAACAGAGCGACAGGACTATGTTTCCTCAGCGATGGGACACAGGTTATTCTGAATTTTATTATTATAAAAATTATTAAAAAAAGTAAAAATAACTACTTTAATTAATTGACCCTCAACATGGAATTGATTAACGTTTGCAATCATGAGTTTGAATTTTGCGAACGGTGAGTTTATTTAATATGCAGTTACATTGAGTTTTTGAGGTTTTTATAGTGGAATCATAATCGACTATTGAAAGGTGTTTTGATTATTGGTTGTATTATTATTATTATTATTATTTGATTTGTTTTCCCCTCTGTTTCATTAATTAAACCGACTACAGCCTCAGTAATTGTCTGCTTTTCAAATATGAGTATTGTTGTTGATGTTTTATCGTCACCGTTCAAAAAAAGAAGTGTATCTTAAATATTTTTAATTTTTATTTTCTTATTTGAGAACAGAAGTTGTCATTTACATTATGTGAAAATTTCATGAGGAATGGACCAATAAAATGTCCCAAAATTGCGTGAAATTAAAATTAAGTTAATGTAAAGACATTTTAAGTTTCTCTAAAGTTGCCGTTATGAAGGTCCTTGTTTGTTTCGAGACGGTGATGATATTCATTAAAATAACATGACATGTTTATTGCGATTTAATCATTTTTCAATCAGCCATGATACTAAAACTTCATCATCATCCCACCTCTAGTCACAGGGAACCGCCTCAACGCCCACTGCCCCGCCCGCCGCCGCCTCCGCCGCAGGACGAGGACGAGCCGCTCTACAAGGCTTTGGAGAAGCCCCGCCTACCTGATAAGCCACGCCTTCCTGAAAAACCCCGCCTTCCTGAGAAGCCACGCCTCCTGGAACACGCTCAGTCCGTGTTCTACCAGAGTGAGGAGGACTCCGAAAGCTTCTCGGCTGAAATTACAGACAGTGTGGGTGGAGCCGGGCCTGACTCCGCCTCCCTGTACGCGAGGGACAGGGACTCGTCCTATCCCGACAGCAGCCCAGAGGGTTTGGGGACAGAGCCTCGGTCGGCCCTGCCCCCAGACGAGCTTTACTTCAGCACGGGACGCCATGCCCACGTCTCTGCCTTCTACCAGCCCCCGCCGCGACGGACCAATGAGGAGGCTCGGCTGGGGCTGGAGCCCGCCCACGGAGAGGGTGATGGACAGATGCAGCTGGTGACGAGTCTGTGACTAGGGCGCTGGTGACCAGGACACGGAGATCTGGGGGAGGAAGAGGAGGTGTGATGTCGCCATCATCATCATCAACATCATCATCATCAACATCAACTACTGTACTGCTGTACAGATGGAAAGTTTTATGAAAGATCGTTATTATCTGGTGGTTTTGGTGAGCCTTCACCTTAAATTACATACTTACAAACTCATATCTGACTTAAAAGTCTCCAAAACTTGATGTACGCCACAGTTCAACTCAATCTGAGTCTTTTAATATGATTAAAAATACACAAAAGTGACTGCAGGGGCTATTTTAATGGAATACAGACAATAAAAACAATACATCCTGTTTTCTTTCTATTCAAAAATAGTCCAAGCATTTAGTTTTAGTCAAAAAGCATCATGCATACTTTATTAAATATTAGAGTCAATTACAATCTATTCTATTCAAATATTCTACACAAGATTGGTGCAGTTACATTATATTTCACGACCCTAAAATGCTCAAAAAGCTTAAAATTGTACCTTATCTGCAACTATATTGAGTGTGTTTACATGCACTCAATAATCTGATCATAATCGGATTTCTGCAGTTATCTGATTATTTGATTGGTCATGTAAACAGCACACTCCGATTTCTTAGATCGGTGTAAGGTCTAGAAAATCGATTAAGAAATATGATAAGGAGTGCTGGATTTTAGCTCAGTAATCAGATTTCTCAGTGCTGTGAACTCTTACTCTGATTTCTTTCGGATTTCTCAGTCTGAGCATGTGTGAAAACAGACGGCGGTACCGGAAATAAGCGAGCAGCGTCGCCACGAGAGGCAGCGAAACACTTTTGGAGCAGCGCTGAAACCAAATACATTATTAACGAGAGTAAGGATTTAAATATTCTTCATCTTCTAGATGATGTCTGTTCATATTTTAGTGTAAAATGTGGTGTTGTAAAAAAAAAGAGCTGCGGTATGAAGTTGGAGTTTTACGTTATGTTTATGTCACGTCGTCTTCTGTGAGTTTATTGGCTGGTTGTAAAGCAGAAATCTGATTACTGTCTAACTCATATAGACCCAGAGTTTCCCATTATCTGATTACTCAAGTGCATGTAGATCGGAGTACTGACTAAATCTGATTTTCTGCAGTTAATGGATTTAAACACACTCACTGAGTTACACAGGAGATTTTTGGAGTTAGTTTTGGCATCAAACCTGTCTGAATATATCACAGTGAGGAGGTATCTGATCTAGTCATGGGATCGAACCTGGAGTATCAATTCTGTGTATTCCAAAATGTATAGATTATTGATTATGTCGTTTATTGACTCACTGCAATGACTCAGGCAATGACTAAACCTATTCATCAGTATGATTCTGCAGAACAGCCAAGGAATGTTTTTCTCCAAACAAGCTCGAACACTTTGCAAATGAACTAGGCTAAACATTTGTAAAACTGTGGCAGTGTCATATGAGCTGTATGATTTGTAAACATTTCGTAATCCCAGATTAGAGATGATAGTTCCATGAGACTGGGTGGAAATCTGACTACATTACAATGGAGAAACACATAAAGTACATCTCAAATGTAGCTAATATAGCTATTATTTCCTATTACAAGATTATTGTAAGATTATTATAATATTATTGCTAGTCATTTTTACTTATTTTACTTTATCAGGTGAAACGATTCTGCTATGATAGCAGACATTTGTGAATTTCACTTCAAATTGTTATTTTAAATAAGTTTAAATGTCTGCAAATAAGTTATAACATGTATTTTCTCTTCATAGCAATCGTATAATAATCACATAATATACATAATAAAAGAAATACTAAATATCGCTGTTGTCAGAACAAAACCTCGTATCTCCAAAATGGTAACTTTACAGGAGAAGGAAAAAACATACTTTACTTTTAATGCAATTCAGTGCAACCAGAATTTTTTCCAGGCTATTTTGGGTCATTTCTTTTGGTCAATTTCTCATGAAATTTGCACATAATGTAAAGACCAATAGGCATTTTCAAATTATGTCAAAAACTGAAAAACGATACAAAATGGAGATACAAGGTTTTGTTCCAACAGCAGTGATTTATTGGGTACACTGAAGATGTTTACGCTTGCTAAGCTGCTGCGACGTCTGATAAACAAGTAATTATTTCCATGTATTAGTGAACTGATGGTGCTGAGTGCACCCTTAAAAAAGCACATCCACCCCTGACCTGATGAGGAAGATGATGATGATGATGATGATGATGATGATGATGATGAAAGAATACAATGAAGAAGAAGAACAAGATGATGGCTTCCTCCTCCGTGTCTCTGTCTCTTGGTCACCCCCAACACCCACCCTGCCCATCTCACTGCCATTCATAAACTCCTTCTCTATGTCTCTCTCTCTCTCTCTCTCTCTCTCCCTCTCTCTCTCTCTCATCATAGCTCTTTATATACTGTATATTAGTCTGTCTGACTGCCTGTATTCTCTGTATATTCTACATTTCACTGTCCTCCTGTCATCCTATGTCTCTTTCTCACTCTTTCTCTCTCTTTCCGTCTCATTCTCAGAGACCGTCCTTGTGTATACGGATCATTTTGGAAGCTGTTTTGGTCTCCTGTGTTTTAAAACTTAAAACAGAGCATTTAAAAAGCTCAGTTTTCATATTTTTAAATGTATACTTTCCAAAAAAACCACATCACGGCCAGCTTGTATGTGCTCAGTGCTCTTTGACTGTGTTCAGCTTTAGGACTCTTTAGATTATCTGAGATGTTCGTCTGATTTAGCTTTACATCAGCACTACGTTGTCAGTCTGACATATTCGTATCTCTAACTTTTGTTCTTCTTTTTAATATTAACACACCCTGATTTTGCCGTTCTTCATTTTGTTAAAAACATAATAATACTTATTTAATTAATACATACATACATCATCTAAACCGCTTATCCTTCTGGGTCGCGGTGGGGTGCTGGAGCCTATCCCAGCTGTCATTGGGCGGAAGGCAGTACTTAATTAATACTTACTTCGTATTTCTTTTTATAATTGTGGACACAATATCATATATTATATCTTTATAATTTGCACAACATCACATCCTCTCTGCGACTTTGATCTCTGTGTTCTGCACCATAGACCTCTGAAGACATGCCCATCTTAGGAAACCCAGGTCTAAGGCCTTATTCAAACATACTGCTTCTGTGTAAAGTGGCCTTTCCTACATACAGCATTTGTGAGTGGTCACCTCAGTCACTCTGCTCAATACAAATCTAATTTATGAAAGTACACGGTAGATGAGTTTTGTGGATTTTTCCCCAATTTAGTCATTAGGACTCCCCCCGCAGTCACCCAATACCACCAGTGCTGGAGGGTGAAGAGCGAGGACAATTGTGCTCTCTTGGACTCCCGGCCATGGACAGCTGTAGCATCACCAGGGATCGAACTCACGATCTCCTGATGATAGGGCCAACGCTTAGACCGTTGCACCACTCGGAAGCCCTGGACAGCATTCTGACTCATGATTAGTCAAAAGTTTCAAGCTGGATAGACCAACTGCGAATCTGTTTGCAGCACAGAATGTTTACCTAGTATTTCATTATTAATTCAAATTCAATTTCTAAAGTTTGTGTATGGTTTTCTGTTTAATTTTCATTGATTTTCATGGCTTATTTTAGTGTGTTTTGCTGCATGATGCGTGCAGAAAAAGTTGGCGCCAGGGTCTATTCTCAAAACACACTTCAGTGCGGCGTCTGGGACGCTCTGCCGTGCAGCCTGTGTGAAAGCATTGACCTGTTAACATGGGCGCCGAAATGAAAAGCAAGACTTTTCACGCCACACAGAAGCAGTATGTGAGAATCAGGCCTAAAGCTGGTTTCCTCTATGGGGAAAATGAAAGGCATTTTCTAAAATTGCTGCTATTGCATCCTGGGGTGAACAGACACGTTCCAAAGCTGATGCATTTTGCTGTACATACATTTTTGGCTGAACTGATCCTCTGAATTGTGCCACAATTGAAGAGTTAAAATATAAATAATAGGTCTCACTTTATTTGAATAGTCCACTATAGATTATCTACAGATGTTCAAATTGTTAACAAACTATCTATTGTCACTCAGTTGATTCTAATCAGTGGTGGGGTTGGGGTTAGGATTTGGACCAGGGTTTGGGGTTGAGGTTAAGGTTAGGGTTGGGATTAGAGCCGGTTTAGAGTTAAAGACAATTATGGTCAGTTTAGTAGATATTAAGTTGAATGTAACTTTAGTGTTATCATAACACTAACACTAAAGCTAACACTGTAAACTGATTGGCACCACACAAACCTTTGTCAAAAGTTCCTCTGGCAGATTTAGGCCGCAGGTTGAGTAGCTGGTGTTGGTATATAACAGTGTTGAAGCTTAATAATAGACTCATTTTCAGTTGGCGTCACTTCAGTATGCAGGAACGTTATTTTGCTTGTAGAACATTTGCAGCATTATTTGTATTTTGGCTGCTAAACAACCTCATAATCTCGGGGTTAAATATACACAGGACAAAATGTATTAGCTTTGTTTTTTCTACCACAGGATGACATAACAGGAGTTTTTTGAAAATGCTATTCATATTTTCTTATAGAGAACAAGTTCTTAGAGGGTGTCATTCACCAACCGTTCTTCAGAAGAGCACAGTTTTCATGAAGACTGACATTCACCAGTGTTTTCTTATGTGGGATTTGTTCTTAGGGAAGAACAGAATCTACACACACTCAAGAGCACAAAGGTGCGAACAGTTCTGCGCTTTCAGAACCCGTCATGAATCTGACATAGACTTTTTCTTAGGACCTTTCTCAAGAACACACTTAAGAACAAACTTTGGAAGATATTAGTGAACAGACACAAACGTCAAACCTTCAGCCCTTCAGACATCCATAGACATACTTATAATGTTCCTGTCAAGGCATTTGGCATCAAATTTTAACACTGTAATATCACCAACTATTGGGTTTGCAAGTTTATGTGAGCATTATCATATTGTTTTTGTGTCCTTGTGGGGACAGAAAGACTTTTGGAAATGCTGTTAGTGTGTATAAAAACATAAGTTTCCAGAAATATCCATATACCTGTGAACAAGGCCTCATTTTCCCATGCTCTACTTCTCTACCTCCGTCTCTGTCTTTCCTTTTGACCCTCCATCTTTCTCTCTGTCTTTCTGTCTTTCTTTCTTGGGGTGGAGTGGTGGATTTGTGTCACAATTTTTTTGTTTTGTCAGATTATTCGTTTCCCGCCTTTAACCCTTTCTCAGAAGAATGTGATAACACCTTTACCAGAGACACCAGTAAAAAAAAAAAAGACTTGCAACATTGCCAAAAATCCTTTTAAAGGAAACACAAACACACACTTCTCTGTTCGTCTTGCTTTCAGTGTTTCGCTCACTGAAACACCTTCCCGAGAGGTCGGGGGTCAAATGACCAGTTAGAATGTGACTATGTGGTCTGCTCTGGTCATAACAAACAAACACAGGAACTTTGTGTG